TTGTCTGAATATTTAATGCAAATAACTTATGCATCTTTGATGGCATACATCCCTTCTTGAGTTTTGGTTTTTTTAAATCATATACAGTACTGTTGTGTTAATTGAAGTTTAAAATATTTGCCATTTTTTTTATTTTGAAAAACATTTACTCTTTTTCTAATATATAGAAAAAACAATCGATAGAAAACAAAGACTAGTTTTCTCGTAAATTAACTTTTATTATAAAGCATTGAACAATAGTTTGCTGTAATTTATGACTTAAAAAAGTAACTTTTTATTCCATGTCTTTACATAAACTTAAACAACAATGAGTTAACTTTAATTAATTTTTGTACTGTTTATATGTATGTATGTATGTGTATGTGTGTCCAGATTACTGTTTAAACTGATACAGACGACCCTGGTTTATACATTTATATACATTGAATTTGTAATGTTTATTTTATAGAAGCAAAATAGTTGACAAAATTGATAATTACATTAAATTAAATTAAAAATAATATTGAAATTGTTTAATGAACAATGCACATCATTTATTATATAAAATTTTTCATTTAATATATATATATATATATATATATATATATATATATATATTAATTACAATTTTGTTATTAACAAAAGTTATTTATAATAGAAAAATATAATGTTATAATTGTTGTGCTCATCAATGATCTACTGGTGCCGACAATTATGGTATACCCGTTGAAAGTGATCCCTCAGAACTCCATACTTCTTTACATTCCATACAGCCTTCAAACATATGGCGTAAATATGGGAAAGTATAAGAAGATATGGGGCTCGGGTGGACATACAGTACATATAGCTATACATACCATCAAATACCATATCACAGGAAAAAAGGCACACGTTTTACATATATTTTCATCATTCAATTGTTGACTATATGTTACTATATTTTATTATACCAAATGTTGATATCTCTATTACTAAAGTATTAGTGGTTAACAGTTAAACATTGAATTACATTTGAACTAACTATTTATATCTATTTAATCTGTTAATAATTAATAGTTTCCTTTTTCGCTTATTTCACTAATACACTTGATGTAACACATTATTTAGTTGTAATTAAATTAAACATTTATAATAACTAAATTAAGTATAATTTTATGAAAAACCAATTAGTTTGTGTTTGTTAAACATTTGACTAATATATTCACAGTTATGTTATTAGTAAGTAAAACACATATATATATTAATATTATTAACAATTTTACTGTATATTCATATTATTAATCACATACACTAAAAGGCTATTTAAAATATAATTAAATTAAAACTCAATTATTTAGTTAAGTTTATATATACTGTGGCATAAAGTAGTGTAGAGTAAGTACAGTACAGTTATAATCATGAAATAGTGATGACATTGAATCTCCATTGAGTATTGAGTCCGCAAAATAACTGATACCAGAGTTTTAAAGCTAATATACATTCAAACACAACAGCAAACAGACTGAATGAAGTCAAATGCAACACTAATACAACACTAAATCAGTCACTGTTTGGGACGGTTAGTCTTCGGGAGGATGCAGTGTTAGGCTCTGAGCCCACTGATCACTGACTCATCTCCTTATAAGGGATACGACACAAGAGATGAGTGACATATACACACACAAGGGATGTGATGAGGAGACCCTATTTTATGGGTGTGTTTGCGATGTATGTCTACTTTTCTCATTTGGGACTATACTCAGCACAAGCATCGCAAGTGTACTCTGTTTTTATAAGTACTGTTGCCTCCAAAGCTCACATGTGTTTCATTTTAGAAATAACTTATACTGTACTGAAAAGATATGGTATTTTCTACTATATGCTACCCTCCCTGTGCTCAATGTCCCCACTTTGGTCTATAAATATCTACAAATGCTTTACATTAGTTTCTTACTTAACTATTGTATGCTTACATTAGCGACAATTACTACAGAAATATTCCTTATAATAATAAAAAATATTATTATTAACGATTAAATTTATTCATTATTTAAACTAGCAATCACATTCCTATACTATTACTATATATCATCTTTTTTTAATTTAATATTTTTAGTTAAATTTTATTTTTATATTTAAATAAGTTGTATTTAATAATTATATATTACTATTATAGAGTTTCTTAAAATATTTAATAATTAAAAAAATATATGATTCATATATTCTTGTTTAATCTAGATTTCTTATCGCAATCCATTATCATATAATTGTGTTCATATACTATTTTTATCAAAAATATTGTAAATAATATAATTTCACAAAAAAGTATTTTAAAATACGTTTTTAAAAATCAAATTTATCAACACTTTGTTGTTATCACCAGAATTGCTAACCTTAAGTTTGATTTGATTATATTTTTTGTGATGAACAGTATATACTGTATGGTTTGTTACACTATAAACAACTATTGGTATAAACATTATAGTTGTTTATTATAAATGCTTTAGATGTTACTATTGTAAAGACATTTATTTTTATTCATATACTAAATGTTAAAGTCATTGCAATTTTGATTTGTTTTAAATATGATTTTCTCTTTTCTTTTGCATTTATTTATCTTATCATTGAATTTATTTTTATACTGATATAAATTCTAACTTATATTGTATACAATGTAAGTGTATATAAATTTCCAGTAAAATATTATACTTAGGTTTAGATCAGATTCCCTCCTCGTTTTATTTACTAAAAGTTCCTTATTTTACAACTCCCTGGGAATTCCTATGCAATCTATTTTCTTGTGTCACTACCTATTGAATCCTAAACAACGCGTTTTATTATAATTTTTGAAAAACAGATGTTGAACTGTATTTTAAGTTATATTGTTAAATAGTATCATTAAATTTATTTAATTCTAATTTATTTTTAAATATTTCAATAATTTTTTACCGCCATTTTTTGCAAAATATTTAGTATAATAATATAAAATATATTTTTCTCTTTCTAACGATCAAGGGAGGGAAAATATAATATTCCATATTCCCAGAAAATTGGAGGGATTTTTTTTGGGAAACTTCTCTGGGAAAGTTGATTGAACTCTAATTATACTATAATTTTGGTAAAATCGATGGGAAATTTATAACTTTTTTGAGATTTTATACAATCTTATAGTTTATATATATATACTCCAAAAAAGAGTTTGGTTGCCATTTGATTCACAGAATAATTTAGTTCCAATGACTTTGAAAAATGATTGCTTCAAATAGAGACCAACTATTAATAATTCATATTAGGATAGACTGTATGTTTGCGGTCAGAGATGTGTGTGTGGAGTGAGTGAGAGAAAAAAAATAAAGTGAAGGCATTTTGTTTTATTCATTAGACAGCTGTGTATACGTTGCTCTCTCTCTCTCTCTCTCTCTCTCTCTCTCTCTCTCTCTCTCTAACATTCACTCCTTAGTTTGAGCCTATCCTTCATTCATGACTGAGAATAACTGTAACCTCTTAAGTCTCAGTGAAGAAATTCTTAGTTCACTCATCTCTAAGACCTCTCACTCTCTATAAGTCTAGTAAAGAAGTGACTAAATTTGAGACTTGACTCATATGAAAATTATAGGGGAACGGGATGTGGTGTATGTGTAAGTTTGGTAAGAGAGCCATATATATATGATATACAGAATAACGACTTTTTGGCACAAATTAAGACTATGGACCCAAATATAATTTTCTTGATCTCATAGTTATCACACCATACATAGGCAACAGCTGAACAACTGATGTGACGTCTCTTACGGTGTATTTTATGTCCATTTCTTTCCCAACAGTCCTCTCATATCTTTCTAACTAATCTTTCCGTCATTGGCTTCACTGTTAGATAACATTCATTAATACACTAAAACTTACAAACAGTAGTACAACAATGTACTGTACATTAAATTTTATAATTAATCACACATTTTGTGCTTGAATTTAAAGCTTGAAAAACTATTGAGAAATATGGTATATAAAACATATTTATAAAGAAAATATAAAAATATTTACTACTTTGAGTGTCACTAAACATAATTTTGAAGCTTTATATTTGATATAATGACTTCATATTTGATAAATTATTATGAGTTGTTATAATTATTGTTATATTATTTATATTTTTTATATCATAATTTCTAGTTTGTTTGTCTCATAAGTTTCAAGTTATTAATGAAATATTCAAATAATAGTAATACAATTTCCTCTCTAAATGAAAAGGACATCACTTAATGGCTCATTAAACTGAGCACAAGAATCACTTTATTTATTTCTTTCTTTTTCTGTCTCTTTCTCTCTTTTTTCTCTCTCTCTCTCTCTCTCTCTCTCTCTCTTTCTTTCTTTTTTTTTTGTTTCTGATTTTGAATTTATATAACAAAAACAATTTTGTCAGATATATTGAATAGAAATAGAAAATTTGAGTCAATCTATCAGTTAGTTTTCTTTATTATGAATATGTTTGTAAATATATTCAATGTTATGCTCTTTTGACTTAAAGAAGCAAAACTTTCAATTTTTTCATATCATCACAATCTCTGATATCTTTTTTTGTGTTATATATTCAGATATCATTTAAATGTCTTTCCAAAGAATCTCTATATTTATATAATTCCGGTACAAACAGTGAAACATTATAGGAATTGATTTCAACAACAAATGAATAAAACAGATCAAATGAATTTTAATCTTTTTTCTGTTTTTATTATATTAAGTTTTCCTCAAAATAAATCTTACAAAAATTTATGAACAGTTTTACATATTTAATAGAATTTTGTTTATTATAATTATAATACTGTACTGTACTGTACATACATAGTAGTCGTAAATAAAAGTTGCTGTCATTTCAATTATTACATTAACTTTGATATGTTTTAACATAATGTATGACAAATGCATATCCCATTGTTAACCAGTTTTTATTAAATTGATTCATAAATATAATTATTTACAGTATTTAATATGTGTTAGTGTTAGACAATGTTATTGATTTTTGATGAAATTGTTATTATTAACAGTGCGATGAGGATCTTATTGTCGAAGTTGGCCCGAACCTGGATTGTGGACGAAAAGAAAGACGACGGATATACGGCTTTACATTTGGCCGCACTTAACAATCACGTAGAAGTGGCTGAACTCCTTGTCCAACAGGGAAAGGCTAATATGGATTTACAAAATATCAATTTACAGACACCATTGCATTTGGCAGTTGAGAGACAACACACACAAATTGTTAGATTATTGGTACGCGAAGGATGTAATCTTAATATACCTGACAAAGATGGAGATACACCACTTCATGAGGCATTAAGACATCACACGTTATCACAATTGAGACAATTACAAGACATGCAGGACGTCGGCAAACTTTTGATGGGATTGGGATCTCAAGGCTCAGAGAAAAAGAGTAGCGCTTCGATCGCTTGTTTTCTTGTGTCAAATGGCGCTGATTTGAATATTAAGAATAAGAAGAATCAAACACCACTTGATCTCTGTCCTGATCCCAATCTTTGTAATACTTTGAATAAATGTTATAAAGAGAGGCTCTGTGGAGGTCAAGCACCTTCATCTCCTGTATCTGTCAGTTCACAGACAGAACAGGAGACTTTAGAAGAATGTATGGTATGTTCTGATAACAAAAGGGACACAATATTTGGTCCGTGTGGTCACGTGGCCACGTGTGCCATATGTGCGCCGCGAGTCAAGAAATGTTTGATTTGTAAAGATGTGGTTCAGTCGAGGAATAAAATTGAAGAATGTTTGGTTTGCTCTGACAAGAAATCAAGCATTTTGTTTAAGCCGTGTAACCATCTGTGCGCTTGTGATGGATGTGCACCACTCATGAAAAAGTGTGTTCAATGTCGGGCTAACATTGATCAGGTCATACCTTTTATAGTTTGCTGTGGAGGTACAGCTCCTCCGCCACCACAACAACAACAACAACAGCAGCAGCAACAACAACAACAGCAACAAATCAATCAACCGAAAGGGGTTATCATGAATAATGGCGCCCGCGATGTCTCCAACAATGATATACAGAAACTTCAGCAACAGCTCCAAGATATTAAAGATCAGACTATATGTCCGGTTTGTTTGGACCGCATTAAGAACATGATCTTCCTGTGCGGTCACGGGGCCTGTCAGATGTGTGGCGACCGGATGTCTATTTGTCCCATTTGTCGCAATAATATCGAGAAAAGGATTTTATTATATTAACAAACCATTGCTTTTATGTTTGTTTTGTCTAAACTTTTTACAATAGTCCTGTTTTATCTCTTTGTAATTTATTATATATTTATTAATTTTTAAAAATTTAACAAATAAAATATTTAGTCATTTAATAATTTTGCATTATTTAATTACAGTACCATTTATATGTTGCATCTGAAATATACAGTATTATAAAATCAATTAAAATTTATTTTTTTATTGAAAACAAAAATTACTCTTGCTAAATACTATATTTTAATTTATAATTATAACAATTATTGTAAACATATATTTACTTTATTTGAAAAAAATTATGATAAAACTATTGATTTATTGAACAATTTTGTGGACTACTGTATTGACAACATTATTGAATATATTGATTTATTTGCCAAAGTAATACTAAACTATATAATACATTATTACAATACAATATAATACAATTTACTATTATTTTTCAATAACAAACCTTAATCTCTGGTTTATCATAAAAAAAGTTTAAACTAGAATATAAATATATATATCATAATTATAAATAGTATTTAATTATTAATATAATGGTAATAAATTTTAGAATTTTTATTAATTTAATTTACCACGATACTTTTGTATTTATAATTTTATGTAATTTTGGATAAAATATATAATTTAAAGAGAAATGGCAATACAAGTATCAATTAAATTTTAATCATTTACAAAATCATGTGATCATATTTGATCTAGGTCATATAAGATTATGTACAAACATGAGTTAAGCTATTAATATATTAATACAGTATTTTAGTACAGTATGTCTACGCTTTGTTGACCAACTGTTCAATTCATTGATAGTTTTATTTCAAAAACATCAATCAATCGTTTTGTCTATGATTTTACATATCTTTAATAAAAATCATTTTACAGTATTTAAAGACAAAGATTATGACTTAAATATTATAATAAATTTTACTATAATAATGTGTATAAAATATATACTACTATTTAATTTGTTCAATGTTTGTATCAAATTTGTGTGACGCAAACAATTACTTTTAATGTGTCGGCGATTATTAATAATTTTAATTTATTAAATAAAAAATTAATAAATAAAATATACTGTTTATAATAAACTGTAAGCGCGTAAGTATTGTTGCACGTGTTAACTATTGATACACATTTTATTACGTGGAGATCTAACGTTACATTATAATATAATTATAATATAAAAATTGTTTTTACTTAACTAACATTTATGAACTTTTTTCTTTCTAATAATTGATTTGTTTAGCTAATGGTGAGCGAGGCATACAATTTAAGTATTAAAATATCATACTTTATCTGAAATAACTTTATCTCAATTAAGACATCTTTTAGTATAAGACAAGCAAAACATGTGTATGAAAAGGCATTATTTAATAATCTGAGAAATATATTAACATTTCATTTTTATTAGAGATTTCTCGTTGTTTTATATAATATTGATGTAAACATTGCATTAGTATATACAGTACTAATGATATAATATCAACAAATATTACTCTTAATAACATAATTATTACATTAGTTTTGTATATTATTTACTTCAATATTAATTATATTACACATACAGTACTTATTTTAAGTAATATCATTCAATTATATATTTGATATTTATTTACTAATATTTTATATTTTTGATTCTTTAATTTTTGATATTGTTTTACAAATTTATTTTTAATTATGACTTTATTTATTGATTATTATCTTCAATTTAAATTGTTTTTATTTCTATGAATATTATAATAATAAACAATTTATTATATAAATGAACTTTTTATAAATTTGAGTATACTTTATAAAATATATTAACATTTATATATCGTTTACTATTATATTATTGAAAACAAATTTTAAAAATAAATTTTATAGTTTTTTCATTTTTATGTTTATTGATGGGATTGTGATCTCAAGCTTCTCCAGAAAAGAGCAGTCTATCGATTGTCTAATATTTAAATATTGAAATAAAGATGAGTCAAACACCACTTGAACTCAGTCTGTATGATATTTAGTGAAATATTTTTTAATGTAAAAGAAATAAAAAACAAAATTTAATTACAATAATTTAAACTGTATTGTATTAACTATTATATTATATTATTGTATTAAATTTTGTCTCATTTTTGTATCCCACTCGTTATAATAATAATGTATTAAATAGTATAAATAGTTATAATATTATTTATTAATATATAATAATATATAATAAAATTATTATAATATAATATAAATTTTCTCATTATCTAACATTATTTGAAACATATTTTAAAAAGTGATATTATTTAAAAAGTATTTACAACATTCCTATGCTCTCTYTCTCTCTCTCTTTCTYTCTCTCTCTCTCTYTCTTTCTCTCTCTCTCTCTYTCTTTCTCTCTCTCTCTCTCTCTCTCTCTCTCTCTCTCTCTCTCTCTCTCTCTCTCTCTCTCTCTCTCTCTCTTTCTCACTCTCTCTCCTCTTCTTTTATTTTTGCTTTTTGATTCATTATTCTTATGAATTCTTTCCCTATTTTGAAAATATCAATGAATTGATGGCTCGACTAAAGTAAAAAACATTATCATATGTGCTATTCATTGAATTTCTTACATAAATGTTAATAATGTTCACAAACACACACATACACACACACACACATACACACACACACACACATACACACACATACACACACACACACACACACACACACACACACACACACACACACACACACACACACACACACACACACACACACACACACACACACACACACACACACACACACACACACACACACACACACACACACACACACACACACACACACACACACACACACACACACACACACACACACACACACACACACACACACACACACACACACACATACACACACACACACACACACACACACACACACATACACACACATACACACACACACACATACACACAATACACACACACACACATACACACACACACACACATTTACACACACTTACACACACATACACACACATACACACACATACACACACATACACACACATACACACACATACACACACACTTTGCAAATACAATTCAAACACACCTGTAGTCAAGTAAAAGTCAATCTTAGTTTAAATAAAGAGTAAAATATTTACTTTAAAAGAGTTGATCTTAAAATACATTTCTTATTTATACACTTTGTAATGAAATCAAACATAAAATTAATGAATTAAATAAAACATTTAAATTATAAACGATTAAAATTTCAATTTCTTTAAGTTATCGACCAATTTAATCATTTAATAAAATGTTTTACCACAAAATAATTTAATGATTGTTATTTTATTTTAGTTTTGTTGAATTATATAAATTTATATTTACAATAAATTTACAATATATATAATATAAAGTATAATATACAGTATATATATTTAACTTATAGTGAGACAATTTTTGTAATGCTAGAATTGAATGTAATGTTAGGTTTTAGTTTAATTAGTTTTACAATTATCTTTTCGGTCAACTTTATAGTGTATATATTAAATCAATAGATAACATAATTGTTGAATTTGATGGTTATTTAATACAAAAGAGCTTTATATGTCAAACATATAATATAATGGTTTTATGTTTAATCCACTTTTGCTGTGAACTCTGGACTGTTAGGTCTCTCCCGAGGTTAGTGTTTGTTTGTCAGTATGTCTGACCATTTCATTGATGGTAAAGATATCGATCAGTTGTTTGAGTTTTGCTTTTGTTTGGTTTATTTTCTGAATTCCTTCAGAAGCTTTGATTTTATTTTCTTCGTTGAACTCATTTAATGATTTTTTGCTACTTTAATACAATTGTCTCGTAATGTCTTATCAATCGCTTTGGGAAACAATCGATTGAAGTTTCAAATATAATTTACTCACATTTAATGTCATATAATAATATCAATAAAAGTAGTGCTATTTTATAAACTATTTTATATGTATATCGAGTTTATCTGTTTAAAAGATCAAATCTTAATGATTTTTTTCAATGAATTTTTAATTTAATTATAAACCAAAACACTTCAAACTATATAATCAATCTATCATTGATTTTAATGAATGCTTTTATATATTAAACAAAATGTTTACTATTGTTGTTATGGTATGAGTTTTGCGATCAATGATTTGGTGATGACTTCACACAATTTCCTATACTTTTTATGGCACTACAGATGAACGTGACTTTTCTTAAGCTAATACTTCACTACTTGCGACCAAAAATTTGATTTATATATTAGATTCACTCAACTTTTATATAATCGTCTCTCTCTCTCTCTCTCTCTCTCTCTCTCTCTCTTTCTCTCTTTCTCTTAATGTTTTTCTTTTCAATTGGCTAACAGTCTGTTCCCACTATTATATTAATGTATTTGATATTTATATTCAAGTGACTCGACTCGTGAGCACAACATATCATATCTTAGAGCAAGAAATAGATTTTAATGAAAAATGATATACAATATGCTTATGAAAAGAAAACCATATATTTTTTAAGAGTCGACTTATATTAGTCTAAGATATTATATGGTTTTGTCGCACCAATTGTATGCCTTAACATTATAACCAGATCTACGACTGATATAAATTAATTCAATACAAATCTAATTTTATATAAGTTTTTAGTGATATATTTTATTAATATAAATTATGTCGAAAATTAATTTCAAAGATAGTCTCATATGTTTGAAACGAAACAAAAAGAAAACCCATTTATCTGAACAACGAAAATATTGTTATACTGTATAAAATAATTAAATTGTTTTTAATGTATTGAACGGTTTATTAATTTTAAAGTTCAAGTTGTTTTGGATTTAATTATGATTTATGTTTTTAATAGATTAGAAAAAGATAGAGAAAAAGAAAGAAAGAAAGAGAGAAATTATAAAACAATTAATTTAATTTTGTTTAAAAATATTATTCATTTAATATGTTAGTTAATATCACAACAAGCTATCAAATATAGACAACTCATATCTTGTATATATTTACTGTTGTTTTTTATATATTTATATTATAATGTATACTATAGTAAACTTATATAATATTTCTATTAAAATACGTATTCTTTCATATTTTTAAGATTTATTCAATGATTACAAAAGTATTGAACTAAAAATTTTGTCAAATTTATTGTCGCATATTATAAATGATAACAATTCTCAATAACTATATATTTCTTATTTTATCTCTTTAGTCATTGCATTCATTGCTTTATTATATTCTGTGAATAACTATAACAATAAATCATTTATTTTATATAAAATACTTTTTTGTTTTACAAACTGTTTGTGCGATAATTTTTATAATCAAATATCAAATTTATATATATTGTATATTACAGTATATGAAACTTTGAATGTTTGAGAGCTTATATTTTGTAAACCAATAGTTCAATTTTGATGAAATGTATTTTATTTTGAAAGAAAACTTTCCAAAAAAATCTAACATAAAATTTGCAAAAAATAAATTAATAGTTTTTAAATTATAAAAAAATTGTTGAAAATCTATACTACTATATAATTTGTTCAATGTTTGTATCAAATTTGTGTGACGCAAACAATTACTTTTAATGTGTCGGCGATTATTAATAATTTTAATTTATTAAATAAAAAATTAATAAATAAAATATACTGTTTATAATAAACTGTAAGCGCGTAAGTATTGTTGCACGTGTTAACTATTGATACACATTTTATTACGTGGAGATCTAACGTTACTTTATAATTACAATCAATAACATAAGTGTTCATTAGATTGACACTCAATTGGACGCCATTAGACTCGACATTGATTCGAATGAAATTAGAATATGTTTTAATTTAAATAAATACCAAAAGTAATGGAGTCTACTTGAGTGCCAATTTAATGGACACACAAGTTATTGGTTTTAATTTATAATATAACGTTAGATCACGTAATAAAATGTGTATCAATAGTTAGCTTAAAACACGTGCAACAATACTTACGCGCTTACAGTTTATTATAAACAGTATATTTTTTTATTTATTAATTTTTTATTTAATAAATTAAAATTATTAATAATCGCCTACACATTAAAAGTAATTATTTGTAATAAATATGACAAACATTTCTAAATTATATAATAGTATAGAAGTATAGATAGATTTCTTATTTAGTTTTTTATAATTTAAAAACTAATAAAAATATTTTATTTGTAATTTTTATGATACATTTTTAGAAATATTTTCTTAAAAATAAAACATATTTAATCAAAAATAGTTTTCAAACACATAGTTAAATTTGTCACATATTGTATTAGTTTTACAATATCTTAAATTAATACTAAATTAAATTATAGTTACTATAAAATAAATAATTTGATGAAATTTATTCTTTTTTAGATAATTAAAAACAAATTTTAAAAATACATAAAACTTGTAATTTATTTAAATATTAATTATTTATTTTATATATAAATTATATACATTACAGTATAATTAACATTAAATATTTTGTACATTTTATATTACGGTCATATAATATAGAGAATATAAATGCTTTATAACATTAATAATTTACAGTAATTTACATAACTTTTTAATATTAATGAATGACAAAAATGTTTCTAAAAATATTATACAAATTGTTTCACTTATAAACTGTGAGACAATTTTCAAAGAAATTTCTTTAGTTTTCTTTTATTTAACAATTTATATTCATTTTTGTTACGTAAATATCTTTTTATAAAAGATAAGTAAAAATAAAAATATTTACAATAATATCGGTATTTGTAATGAAAGCTTTACATTATATTATTAAATGAATAAAAAACAAAATAAAATATTATAATGTATTTTGAAATTTGATTTTTTTTCAAAGATTTAATTAAGAATAATGAAAATTTTTAAGATAATGACTATTATATTATTTTTAATATAATTAAATTTAATTAAATATCAATAAAATTATAACTAATTTGTAATGAATTTCATTAAAAATAAATTGTTTATTATATTATTTATTCTTCAACTCTAAACTTCTTGTTATGCGATCTCTTGAGTCGAGTGAGACCTACTTTAATGTCAACTTTGGGAAACCTGACGACACGTATTGGATCCAAACCATAGGTGACAATCATTTTATTGTTAATTTCATCTGTTGTCTCATACAATGAGCTCTCATCTGACTCTTCATCACAACTACTCGTACTGCTTATGATCACCGAATCGGGTGACCGCTTGTTATGGTTAATATTATCCATTTGTGGCACAATTGAATCGTCCGAGTGTTGGTCACCGCACACTTGTTTGTGGTCATCATTATCGCCATCACTGCTCTCAGTGTTACTGTTATTGTCATTGATTGTGTTATTGATGTCTTTGCTTTTGTTGATACCATTGATGTCTAGTTTTTGTTGAGACAAGTGATGGTCAGTTTGTTCTTGTCTTTCAATGTTTGACTGCATTTGTGGCACTAATTGGTCACGTCTTGTGTGAAAATCATTGGATTGACTTTGTGTTGAAATACTAGCAATCATGTCATGAATGGCACTCTTGATGGCAATGATGTCAGTATTGATGTCTGCATTGGTGTTAGTCTTCAAGTCATTCATGTCTTTAAATATCTTTAAATGTCTTTAAATATCAATTGATTCCTAAATATTACAAAATTCTAAAACAATTGCAAAACTTTTTCCAATAATATTCTCATTAGAATTGATTGTTTGTTTCTCTCGTTTCTATGACAACCCATCACTCTATACAATACAACGTAATGTATGTATAGATCGATGAGTGACTCAATTATTGTATGAATGCATTGAAATTGAGTTCATTTCCCAATTATTATATAACTATTATATGTATTATTAATATTAATAATATTATAACACTTTGTATAGTGTTGTACACAAACACTACAATTATGACTATTACTATACATATGTTTACATTATTTGACAAATATTTTGTCAAATTATTTTGAATAAAATCAATCAATTTTAACAATAATTGTTATAACAATCAAATGATAAAGTTTTTTGATTGTAAACTAAATCCATAAATAATGTTTGAAAAAGAGGTGTTGTATTAGTGTTTGAATAACACAAATGAGTGTCAATTTGTAGTGAAGTTTGAATGCATTGCTTTTGTTGTTAAACTAGTGTTGCATTGATTGCAATCCAATACACTGTTAATAAATTATATGAAACACTAACTAATAATACAAATTGTTTTATTATAATATAAAATAGCAATCAATTGAATACTCAATAGTTATGTTATTTTGATTTTATTGTTATGTTTTGTCTATAAATATAATTTATATTTAAAATAATCTCAACATTGAATTGTATCGATAAAAGCGACACTAAATGATTGTCAAACAATACATTTATCTGACTATTAAATGTCATTAATTTAATATATTTTTAGTTTATTCACTCATTTATTTGATATTCAATATATTGTATACAATTTGATAACAGTTTGAGTGCAAAATCTGTCACTTTTTATATAGTTTTGTTAAATAAGTTGTTTTGTCAGTATTTTATTAAACAAATGTAAATTATGGTAAATGTTGTTAATATTAATTAATTTAAATGATTTTTGCCAATAATTTTGGTCTATAATGTGATAACTTTATTGAATTTTGTTGAATGTTATGATTGGTATTAACAAAAATAACAGTTAAACGTGTATTCAATTGATATGTTATATAAATCTCGTTTGTGTATACATTTCAAATGAAAATGATTTAAAAAACAAACCAATTATTGTTATAATTATTAGTTATATTTAAAATTATTATTTTTTTTATTAACGAAAGATTCAAAATATTTGTTTGCAATTGTAATGCAATTTTAGAAAATTATTAAAAGTGTATATGTTTTTAATAACCGGTAATAAGTGAGACACAAGTTTTTAATTAAATTGTTGTTTACTAATAAAAATAATTGGGCGGGGGTTCGGAATTTGGGGGGCGGAATTGGGGGGTTTAGAGTATGGGTTTTAAAGTTTAGGGGGGAATCACTACACCAAATATCAATGGCCGAAGTTAAAGAAAAATATTTTTTTTAATTTTTAAAATTTTTTATTCAATTAATTTTATTCAATTTTTACATTAAAAATTGTCATTTGGTGACGGGTAGACAAGTTTGATGCCTGCACTGCTACTGTATCATATGCAGGGTTTTAAAAAACAATGTTTTATAAAGGGTTTATATTTGGCAAAATTGGCATCTATTGTTTATTCTTGCCACATTTAAAACCCTGATAATATGTATATCCTGGGTATACATTAAGCCCCCCTCGCTACGCTCGGGCAATACCCCTTTTACCTAACCTGGTGTAGGCCTCGCAACCTAAACCTATTTATAAAGAAACACTACAAAAATGTAATGTATATTACTATATATATATATATATGTCATATATATGTAATGACCTGTCCAGCTTCTTGACCCTTCACCTCCGGCCATTGACATCTATATATATATAATCCTTATAACCCAAGGTATCTATAAATGATCCCCTCGCTTCCCTCGGGCAACCCCCATATACCGAACTTCCGCCAAATAATTGATTTTATAAATAAAACGTTTTATTAAAATCGCAAATATTTTTGCGTATAAATCAATTGACATTTTAAGTTTTGGCAAAATTGTTATACAAATTGTATTGAATTTGTGATTAGATATCATAAATAATGGGAAATTTATTACGGCTGCTATCGAGGGATGAAACGCCAAAATATGATGTTTTTGTCGATTTTGAAAGTATGTATCACTTGTTGATTAGTCTGACCATTACTCAAATTTAAATCTTATTATTGTTGGATCAGATGCCCGACCGACAGACACTGAGAAGGAGGTCTACATATTAGTTGAATGTGTTTTGATTGAAGCAAATGATATATTGTCTGCATTACAGACATATAAAGGCGCCGGAACTGAGATCAGAGAGGTTTGTATTTTTTTGTCCAATTAATTTGTTAATTAAGTATTACATCCATTAGTAATTTAAACAATTATTATAAATATAAGTTATGATAATTATTATGAAAGAGACAATTCATTAAATTTTTAAAGATGTTATCAATCATTTGACTGAAGGATATTTTTCTCATTATTCTTAACATTGAATTTATTTTTTTACTTTTTCATCCGATTGTCCTTTTTTGGTATCAAATAATTAATTAAAAATATTTTTTTGTTTGACATAAATTTAAAATATGATACAAATCATTATTTTGCATAATAATAATAATAATAATATATTTTAAGGTTATATATAATTTTTAAAAATATGATTCATTCATTTATTTAATACTAATATGAAATAGAAATATTAAACTCAATGTTAAGTAAGTCATTAAATTATATTTTAAAAGTTCAAAAATTTATAATTATTATACTTATAAAAGCAAAATAACGACAAAAACTACATTTACAATAATAATTGTCAAATAAATGAGTTATTATTCTCAGTAAATATAAAAAATAATAATATAAGTTAATTAGTTTATATTGTATTTATGTTACCAACTAATGACCACAACTGTCTGGTAACACCTGACCGATCACTTGCATACCAGTGCTTACTTTAGCGTAACTTTTAGTTATACTGTATAAACTGTATATAACTTATACTGTATCATTATTTTAATAGTTATCATGATTATTATAACTTATTAAAAATGTTTATTTATTATTTGATACAAGTTTTTTGGCATAACTTAATTTGGTATTATTGACTTTTGATGCATCTATTAAATTACCGGTTGTTAAATTGCAAAGTTTTGTAACAAAAATAGCATTAAATAATTGTATTTAATATATTGGTAATTAGTTTATGTATCTATAATATGTTTGTTTAAAATAACGCCTATTGTATATGCTTTTTATAATATTAAATTTAAAGAATAATAAGATTAATATATAAATTATTGATATTAATTAAAATTAATGGCATATTTAAATAATATAATTATTTATACATAAATTGAATAAAATATAATATTGAATAAATGTAAAAATAATGTTATGTTTTGTACTGATATTTACAGGCAATCGGAAATCCGTTGAATGAAGAACAGCAGATCAAAGCCTGGGATGCAGTCCTACCACTCGTTAATAAACTCAAACATTTCTACCAGTTTTCACTCAAATTAGGTTTGATTTTTGGTTTAGTAATTATTTCAATATATCGACAATTTTCCAGTTATGACTCATATTATGTTTAAAAATGTTATAATTAAATAATAAACATTTTAAGTATCATATATACAGTACTGTATATATCAAGTAACAGTGTATACTGTAAATTACAATAATATAAATTTTATATTAATTTACACAAAAAGAAATACATTATTTACATAAGAGTTAAAATATATATAATAAAGCAATATTTAATAAAATATAATCTTTTATATTGTTATATAAATTTATTTTATTAGTTTTTTATGTATAGTAAGGAAATAATGTTAAAATTAATTAGTTTTGTATAGAAACTAAATTTCCATTAACTGAATTAATATAATAGTATAGTATATAATAAATTGATTGATATGATTACAGAGGATTGTGTGCCGAAAGTGTTGTCGGCGCTGTGCTCCGGGTCGATGAGTCCGCGCCAACATTTAGAGACACAGCAGGCGTTAGTCAAACAATTTGCAGAGATATTAGATTTTGTACTCAAGTTTGATGACCTCAAGATGACTAACCCCTCCATTCAAAATGACTTCAGTTATTATAGACGAACAGTGAATCGGCTTCGGATCGCAAATCAGGATAACCCGATATTTGCCGAAAACAATGTCAATATTAGTAACGAAGTGGCAAACAGAATGTCTCTATTTTATGCTCAGCCGACTCCTATGCTTAAAGTATTGTCAGACTCGACCTCACATTTTGTTGTTAATAACAAAGAGCTTCCCATCGAAAATACCACCGAAACGTTAGGAACGATGGCTAAAGTTTGCCAACGAATGATTGAAAATCAGTTTAGTATTTATATAATTTAATTTAATACAAATTATTTACAATTAATATTAACAAAATTAATAATTGCAGTGAATTTTATTCGCGTTTCCAAAAAGAGGACACAATATTGTTTGTATTACGAGTGATGGTCGGTGTGATCATACTCTACGATCACGTGCATCCCGTCGGAGCTTTTGTTAAGTCATCCCATATTGATGTCCGCGGATCCATCAAAGTCCTCAAAGAACAGCCACCAAATGTGGTCGAAGGCTTACTCAATGCCCTCAGGTATACCACTCGTCATCTAAATGATGTGACAACACCTAAAAATATCAAAAATCTTCTCACATAAAGTAGTCTATAATAATTATTTTAGACTATTGTTATCATAAATACTAAAAACAATCTTTTAAAATACAATTTTTTTACCAAAAATATTGACATTTACTGTATTGCTATAAAGATTAAAAACTGGTAATTTTCTAATTTAAAATTAAACAGTTATATACTTTAAATCAATCTATTGTTCATTAATTTTTACATTAATCTAATTACTAATTAAGTTAAGCTCTAATTGAGATCTAAAAAATTGCAATTCATAATTGAATAAAATTTATTTTTAAAATTGTGTTATACGTTAATACGTTAATGAATTTAACTTTTTTACAATTAAAAAGAATTTATTACTGTTATAAATGTTATGCAATGCATTGCAATACAAATATTAATGAATTGTTTCTTTAATGTCTTTCCTTATTTTGTAAGTAAATATATGTTTATTAATTGGTTTCTGATTTTAATCATTCAGTGATTATAATAAATTAGAGTTTTATTCAAAAATTATATTTTTTTCTATTTTAATTTTAATTTATCTAATGTTTACGATATAATGTCCCTGAAAGCTGCCTACACTAATGTTTGCCTAAAATATAACAAAATTAAACAAAAGTATATTTAATTAATGAATAATTCGTTTAAAAATATATTTAATTTTTGCTACTTTTCAAATTGTTATCTAAATTTATTTAATTAAAATTAATTAATTATTATTATTATTATCAAAGTAGTGTAGTTATAAAATTTTAATATTTTCAAACTTGATTCTATAACTTATATTCAATATTATAGTTACTATATATGTTATTTATATATTATTGCAAATATGTAATAAATACAAGCTTTGTATGTCACATATAAATATAATACATTATAGTAATAGTATTATATAATTTGTGACAAAAATCATTATTTAGCGTATGTTTTAAACTATCATTAAAAATTGGTCAAAAATTTAAATAATTGTTTAAAATAAACTTATTTTAAAAGAATATCATATCCACTTTTACATCAATTGTAATCATATAAATTGTTATGCTCAAATTAAACCAAAGTTATTATTATTATTATTACTTTAACATATTGAATAATTGTCAAATTAAAAAAATATGTAAAATAAAATTAATTTTTAATTTTATTTAATAAACAAAAATATACTCTGTAATTGATTAATTTAATAATGCAATATAAATATAAAGATCTGAAAATGCAATTATTATGTTTGACGTTATTTTATATTTATATAACAATTAAATTATATTTAAGATAAGATTAATTTATTATATTGTAAAATATATTATTTCAATATAAAATATTACATTATTAGATTCGTAATACAATAAATACGAAAAATACTACAAATTGTAATTAACTTTTGATATAATGGCAAATCAATTAATAATTGTATTAATTAGTATATTAACACTTTTTCATCTATTATTTATCAATTCATATGAAACTTGTTTTAGGAATTGTTTCGAGAGATCAGATTCACTGATATTAAACAATTTGAATAAATCTGATTCGGGAAATATTTGTATTGAATGTGATTTTGATTTATTAGCACATAATTTAAATCAAGTAAGTAATCATATTTTTTGCTATAATAAGTAATAATCAGTATTAAAAATGTAACTAATTTTAAATAACAGAGTCTAACAATTACTATAAATCAAAATACGAGTTCAATGAATCAAATAATTATAAACAAACTATATTTTGACGAAATTAATATTGAAGGCCAAGTTGTTATTGAAGACAGAAATCAAGAATTTAAATTTAGTAAAATTAATAAAACAATAGTCAATGGATTAATATTAGAATTTAACAATCATATGATTATATTTCAAATTGATTTATTCATTAAACCAAATATCAAACTTATTGAAACCAAAATATACAACAAAATTGCATTCAAAATTGATGTCAATTTTAAGGAATATCCATTTATATTATTGAATGAAACCATTGACGCCGATTATACTGATCATAAAACAATTGCCAATAATTATCAACCAAATTGTATATACAATTGGATTCTTAAGAGAACAGTTGATAGAAAGTATGGAATTCTTATAATAGTTAATAATTTGAATATTGATATCAATTCCGGGGATTATATGAGAATTGGTTTAGATTTTAAATTTAATCCAAAATTAAAATCATTTTTGATAACAAGTTTAACTAATCAAAGACCAAAAATGATTTATTTTGATTCAAACACAGCGTATATTCAATTGATAACACATTCATCCAATAAAAGTGGTCAGAGTTTGCAATTAAAGTGGATTCCAATGGATAAAACATTAGAGATGAGTCGTGAAGAATCGGATCCATATTATAGACTTAGAAGTCATTCCTTACATATTTGCATTCAACATAAGTGTACAGATAATGAATTTTATGATAGTTTTAAGACATTTATGGCTAGATTTTTGAATCAATATATATTTGACGGCAATCTTAAATACAAACAATTTATTGATGAAAACTCTATTCAAATGTTTGATAAAGAAGACCGAAGAGGTAATTCATTTAGTTATTGCAGTGCAAAACTGGCCATAACTCGTGAAAATAGGGATAAAATGTTGATTTTTGGTGCAAATGTCTTAAAAGATATACTGTTTCCAAACGGAAATCATTTTAAAGATGAGTTTATCATAAATAATACCAAATATGATATTTATATTACTAATTGCAATATCGATGGATTTCAAATGAAAGAGATATATGAGTTAATTATTTATTTAGGATTACCGGTCATTGTTGTCATCATATTATTATTAGCAATGAATAAACGTAAGAATGTCATCACAAATGAAACTCTTGAAAGATTTAAAAATTCTTCACTCAATTCCAATGTAATCGATGATCAATCAGATGTCAACGTCAATACACGGCTTAATGTCACTGATTTTCACGGACTCGAGTCGGACAATGAGTTTTCAATAAATGATATTAAAAGTAGAGTTCAGACACTCAACCGAAAAACCTCTTATAGCGATGACTACCCTATTCTTGAGCTTAAAGTAAACTCTAAGAAAAGAGCATCTGTTTTAACCACAAATTTTACTCAAAACCAATTATATTCACAAAATTCAATTAACAAATCAATTTAAATATAAATGTAAATAATACTAAAACTATTAATTTACCGATGATTTCTAATTGTTGGCACTTATTAACTACAAGTTAATTAAATACAATAAAAAAGTCATAAAACATGTAAAAATGTTATTAATTATTACAATATTTTAATATAATTAATATAATTTATGCGTTTATACAATTTTAGAATTTTCCAACAAAATATAAATAAATTAATTTCATCTTAAAAATAACAAAAAAATATAATTCTAAATAATTCATAATTAATAATGAAATAAATAATGAAAATAACAGTAGTTTTAAAAAGTATAAATACAGTAGTAATATGTACTGTAATTTAATTAATATACTCTACAAAAATTGTAGTAAAAAAAATTTTGCGAAACAAGCGATTACTGTAAATGTTATTATTTTATGAGTTATGATCATTATTTGTCATCAAATCATCTTTATTAACCACTCCATCATTAATTAGGTGTCCATAAACTGGTGGAGCGTAACCACAGGCACAGTAGTCTAATTTCTTGGGTCTTCTATTCAATTTAGTTGTTACCTATAATTGCAATAAATAACAAATTAAATTATTGTATACTACAATAAATTTATAATCTGCTTAACCCTTATAATAACTTACACTATAAGTTAAATGATTAATATTTCGAAACCAATGGAAAAAGCAATGTCCAGAAAAAACCAACAGTGCAATCAATAATACAAACATTGAAAAGGCGGTCACCTTTGTATTGCCGGTTCTCATTAATAAAAAGGTAAAGACCTGGAATTGCATCATAAGTAAGGCTATGTGTACGTAGAGGACAGCTGTCGAGTGGATGCGTCCCGTGATTTTAGTTGGAGTGTAAATATAGTAAATGTTATAGCGATCGACGATATGCCTGCATATCATATAAAATAGACCGCACGGTGCGATTAGAGGACAGGCCAGACTGTATGTCACTGTCATCGCAAATATAAGCAAAAATCGTGGATAAGTTACGCCAAATGGAAAATCAAATAACACTTGTTTTCTGGCGTTTTTGTATTCAGCAGGAGATCTGATCAGCAAATAATAAAAGAGATAAAGAAATAGTTCCGGCAAACGAAGTACATCAACGGTATTCTGTAAAAGTGCCGCTTGTAGTGCGTAGTTGACAAAGAAGGCTCCGTTGTCTACTGGAAACAGACACTGCCATCGGAATCGTTTCGTTTCATTTGTTGAAAAAATATTTTCCAACAAAGCGTTTGTACTATTAGTGACAATAAACTTGATTTTAGTCAACAAGTATTAATAAAATTTGAGATATCTATACCTTAGTAAACCAGCCGACGGCAATATAATGACCATCATTACCAAAAATATATATACTTTCCACATAATTGCGTGATTTAATGCACTGATTGTCTTGAAAGGCAAGCGCTCGCAGGCTGTGATCACTATAATTGGTAATACAGTTGTCATTGACATCAAAAGCAATGGACTTAAAAAGTCACTCCAAGTCGAGCTCTAAATGTGTTTAACTATGATTAGAGTAAATCAAATCAATATAAATAAAATGCTTACAAATTTGAAGATTCCCTTATCAATTGACTTTTGATTGGCTATAAATTCCATGCCTTTTAATAGTATTGCCGGAGTCGACAAAAAGAAAAAGACAACAAACAAAAACAAATATATCAACACTTTTCTCAACCAAATCCACTTATAATCCACTGTCAGATCTTTCCAATTGATGTCATCCGGATATGGAGCGTATGACACTTGCCATCGATTCAATTCAAGTGAATCAATTTGATTGTCATTGAAAACACTGGTTATCCACGTAATGACATTTGTTATACAAACACAACAAAGACATGATTGTTGTCTTTCTTTTAAATATTTATAAATCCTATTAAAAAACAATTATTAAAATTTTTAAAAATAATAATTAAAATCCATTGACTTACTCCATGGCTTGTTTTTCGGTCTCAAATGTGATAAATACAGAACCGGTTGGCATAGAAAACATATTTGACAGTTCTTTCTTAAGTTCTTCAGTTATTTTAACTACACTTTGACTATAATATTCATAGCCATCAACCGATTGGCAAAAACAACAACAGCAACAACCTAACTGTCCCATACAATAGGGACGTATAGATAATTTTTGGTTGTGTTTGGTTTGATAATTATCGCAAAACTCTTTAGCGTTGACAGCATTTTGATACTCCAGTTCTAATGATTGTAAATCTGTAAAATCGTGAACCACTTGAATGCCTGTTATGTGACAATCGGGAAATGATTGTTGAAAATAATTTATAAGAATTTCTTTAGTGTTCTTGAATTTAGGAATCCGTCGAATTAGAAGTGTTCGTCGAGTTATGTTTTCGTCGTCTGATTTGATTACTTTAGAAAAGTGATTCATAACAAATACACCCTAAATATATACAATTTATCCATAATTATTCATATATTTAGATAAAGCAATTAATATATATATATATATATATATATATTACAAGTGGTATTATAATAGCGGCCAAAACGGCGTGAATCCAAAACAAATCAGACTTTGGGTCCAAATTACTGATTGTTGTTCTGCCGAATGCTTTTGGACGACCCTCTGTATCACATAATTACAATCATTATTACATTACTGGTAATACAATATTATTATTAATAATTACCAAAATTTCCCTGAATATTAACGGGTAATACAATAACTAAACAGACAAACGTAAGTAAAGCTAAAAAATAGATAATATATTTCTGAAAGATTAGGTATTGATAGGCATCTCTGCCTTTCGTTCTTAAGATGTGGTCGTCTTTGATTGAAATAAAGTGCAGAAATCTGTGACCATATTTGCGAAGAGATTCGCTGGACTTTTGTGAAATAAATTGCAAATTAAAACCAAATCTAATACTAAATACTACCTGTATTTACATACACAAGAAGTAGCAATTGTTTCGAGCAATGAGTTTTGGTCGTGTGTTTGGTCATTAGATGGCCGGACATTATCGACAATATCTTCAATATTTGTAGTGGTATTCATATCTTCATTTCTGTGCAAACTATCGTTGATTTCAACTTCAATGACTCCATTGCTATCGAAAGGTTCGTTAACCGATTCAATAGTTGTAGACGTATTAGACCTATTAATTGGTGATGTTTTTGGTGACAGTATCGGTGGAAATATTAGATTTGTGTCATTCAATGGATGCAAATGATATGGAATCGGTGTTCGAGTATTATCTTTGATCCCACAGTCGGTAAAGTTGTTTTTGCGGTCGCCGTAAATAAATTGAAGCCATGAATCACTATATAATTTATTTAATAATTATCGGTAAATATTTTCATAACAAACAAACAAATTATGTACTCATTTGTGGCCAAAGTATGTCTTTGTTTTCTTCGGGCCAATTGTCGCGTTATTACAAATATCATAATCATTATCTGAAATTAAATTAATATATAAAATATATAACAAATATGTAATAATAAACTTTCAAACAAACGATATAATGACTGACCAAACATAAGATCAAATTAAGGACAACACTCTCTGGTATGCCTTCCCATCCCCTTTGGATCGCAACATAGGTCTTGTTTTTGGGAACAATGATATTACACGTGAAGTTGCTATTAGACGGGTTGTCCATCAATATGTTGTCCATCCATTCGGGTAAGTCAGACATGTGTAGCATCTTTGAGGACAATCGATGTCCAAATATATATGACTCGCAATCACTGCTTTACCACTCAATTGTCAGCACAATTGCATCGACAATAACAACAAAACAATTGTCTATTATATATACAAAATATTTATTAAGCCATCGGTGGTCAACAAAGACACCAATGAATCCAAACGGTGACCACAAATGACTAGAAATCAATGGTATATTCAATTGACTCAATGTTTTGATGTTTTGTTTGTATCACTCCTTCAATGCATTCAATAATACAAACAAAAGCCAATCGACTGTCAAATGAATTACAAATCAATTACGCAATCATTGAATGCTATGAATGACTCATAAATTATAAATATATTAATTATTTTAAAGAAAAACTTGTATTTTATTTATATTATTATATAATATAACAGAAAATATGATTTATTGTTATTTTTGTTGTTTTTAAAAACTAGTTTATAATAAAACAATAATTGATTTTTTAAACCATTACTTTGAATATGTCGTATAAAGTGTTGAAAGTAAGTGCGCTTTAAATGCCAAACAAATGTATATTTTATGTAACAATTTATTTGATTTACTAATATTTTTTATTATATATTTTGCTGTTTAATAGTTTGTTTGCCATATAATCATAAAAGTTGTCTAAATATAATAAATATTCCTATTTTTAAATGTCATTTATACTACATATGTATGAAATAATTAAATTATCCATAAATTCTGTTTAAATAACTTATGAAATGTATTGAAAAATTCAGTTAAATTCAGAAATTCTCTTTAAATTTAATATAAAATAATTATATAAAAAATTAAATAAAAACTATTATATTTATTCAGTTTTATTTTATGTGTATAAAAACTTATTCAATAATTAGATGATAGTTATTATAGTTTTATAAATTTATAATATACTGTATTTTACTTAATATTTGCTGACAATTAATTGTAAAAATGTTTTTTATATAAAATATTTCTAAGATTATATTTACAGTATTGTACATCAACTATATATATATATATATTATATATTGTTTTTAATGTCTTTCAACATTACCTGTCATTAAATGAAATTGATTTAATGGTTTATTAATACAAGAAAATTATATTAAAAATTATTATTATTATAATGAGTTATTATTATAATATCTCTATTTATAATATATACAAATAAAATGTTATACCTTTTAAAAAGAAGAAAGTGTATAMTAAATATTTATATGAATATTAATATTAAAAAAAATTATTTATATAATTATTAAAATTAATAATTAGAAATATTTCTAAAACTATTAATAAATCATGAGTTAATAAAACATTTTATTGGCTGTTACTGACTATAACTTAAAGTTTGAGACATTTGACTATATGACACATTTAAAGATTATTAAGTGACCTAGACATTAATACAAAATTGTTTATATTATTTTAGTATAGTAAATATTAATTCTCATATAACCAGGACCGTTTCTAGAGTTTATACTTTTAAAAATTAATGTTCAAATAAAATAAAATGTTAAATTAAAATCCATTAAATAGTGCTCTTATTAATTTGTATTTTAACGTTTATATTTTATATTATAATTTAAAAATTGGTAAACAATTGTAAAATATATATTAAATATTTATTAACACCATATTATAATACACCTTTTAAATAATAATAATAATAATAACATTACTATATGAACCTGGGAATGATTACTTAATTTTAAGAAATATAAATATTAATTATTAGATGCAAATAAACAACGAGTTGTTAGAAATTGAATTAATAATCTAAAATTATTACTTAAACAAATTTTGTTGAATCATATAGTGTTAATATATGATATATGATATATTTTATATAAAATATAATAAATGCTAATAAGTTTGGTTAACTTATACAATTATGACGATGTTATAAAAAATTAATGTAATAAATTATTTATGATATAATACTGAATATGATATGATTATATGCAATCACCTGCCAAATAGTTTTAAAGACATTTATACAACCACTCCCTAAAATAGCAATTAATACAACAATACAATAAATATGATCTTACAATAATAAGTTTACCGTTAAATCTTGTATTTTTCCCCATATGAAAATATGTAAGTCAAGGGGAATAATGCGAGTTTTGTATCATATAAAAAATATAGTTTTTACTTTGAATAATAATTTGTCTGTTTTTATATATTTTCATGATTTCCCACTTTTGTATTTACAAGTCTCGAGTTGTTCCAAACCCTTTGAATATGTTTTGAAAAATATTACCGGTAATATCTAAATAAATTACTGTTAATAATCGGTCATTACAGTTCCCTATTCCCACAATTTTTCTTTTACCCACAGATTTGTTTAATTTACCAGGGGTGGTAAAAATGCGAGTTTTTTACCGTATGAAAATATTATTTTTCATATTTTTTTTATTTTCATATGGGATAAAAAACACGATTTTACGGTAGGTAAGTTTTATTTGAACTTAATATTGTTAAAATTTGTCAAATGTATTGATCATCGTTGATAATCTTATCATTAGAAACTTTAATTAATATATTTATTTAATTGTTTAATACAGTATATTACACATACCTTATACTTTATAATTTATATACTGCACTGTATATTATGTTTATTAATATTAAAAATAATTCTTAACAGAATTTATAGGTTAAAAGCTATTTATTTAAAAAAATATTTCTATATCAGAGAAATATTTTCTGAGACGAATAATAAAAGTAGAAATTTTTAAAGATTAAAAAAAATTTAATTTACGTGAATGTTTAATATAGATGATCCAAAATGAGATGATTTTGATAATTATTTATTAAGTATAATTTTTAATTTACCGAATTTAATGAACTGATTTTAATTAGAATATATAAAAAATATTTCAAAATTATTTAAAATGTAATTAACAAATATTATAGATACCATAAATTATAGTAGTAAAATAGTATAAATTATAATAGTAATAACTGTAAAAAAGTTTTACTGAATTTATTTTATTTTAACAAATATTTATGTTTTTACACTTTTCATATAATTTTTTACATCCTTTTCTGTTTAAAACATTTATTAATACAGTATTAAGCAATAAATAAATTTTAAAAATTATAAACTATTTTAATTAATATAAATAAAATAAATATAAATACTGTATAACAAATTAAATAATTCTAATAATTTAATTTAATATAATTTATTTTTGGACGAATGTTTAAACTTAATTTACAAATATCTTAAATAATTTATATAACAATAATTATTTACTTTGGTAATAATTTTTGACGATATTTTTTATTGCATAGACTAAAAAATTATTCAAAAATATTTGATTATTATTACTAATGATTTGCGAAAACAAGTTATATAAATATATTAAATTTAAATAGTAGTCTTTTGTCTACAATTTAAATGTAATATTGTATAATAATATATAATTTTATGTAGAATTAAATTAAATTTATATATCATTTAACAAACAAAACCGATTATACTATTTATGTTAGTAGTACTACAATATTAATAATTTACTTTATATTTAAACTGTATGTCTATAGTATGTGAAATATAATAAATCTGGTTTACCGTCAATTACAGTGTATTTTAACATACAATTTACGTAAATAGAAAAATAAAAATAAAAATCAAATGCTTTTATGTGATACATCATACTGTATATACATTTATACAGTAATTTATATATCGTATACTTATAAATATGAACTTATTTTTGGCTCAAGAAATCATTTTGTTTTTATTATTTAATGTCTTAATGTCATTGAATAGTATATGTATTATACATTATAACGTATAATAGCATAAAAATCATTATTATTATTATTATTATTATGCTTTAGTAATGCACTAAGTTTATACATTAATGGTGTTTAAATTGGGCTAAATTTGTATAAAATTATATGATTTCTCTTAAATTAATACTTAAAATGAATTCATATATTATATAATTCATGAAAGTGGAAGTCGAAAGTAAATCACTTATCGATTGATCGTTAAATATAATAAAATAATCCATTTTTGGTATATCAATCAAAATCAATTTATTTTTCATCAAAATATTTGACTAAAATATTAAAATAACTTTATGTGCAATAATGTGATCATAATTTACAAAATGTTTTTTTATATAAATTTAGTTTTTATGATTCCTAAGTATATGTCTTTTTAATTAATTCCTTTATTTTAATTTTTATAATTTATTAATATATATATATATATTAATATTAAATTATTATTAAATTTGTTATTTAAAAAAAAATAAATTGTGTATTTTAATAATCATTTAAATCTAGAAAATATTGTTATGGTCTAAAAATTAATTGTTATATAATAATAACAGTTAATAATTTTATAATAATCTTTACTAATTTAGACGGGTTTGAATGACACTAATCATTAAATTAATAGTAAATTCAATTAGATAATTGCACTTTAAATAATTGAGAATTTACTATTAATAATAATTTAAAAAACAGTTTTATAAGTTTTACTATATTTCAAGAATTTTTTTATATAGATTTAATAAAATAATTTTCTAAATGTTAAAACTTTGAATTGTGGTGTGAATATCGATGAGAAAATTAGTAAAAATGAGAAAAATTATAAATCTTCTAAATTTTTATACAACAAACATTGTAATTTAAATAATAAAATTAATAATAATTGTTTAATCTATCGATATTTGTCAAACATTACTAAATCAATTTTAGTTACTTAAATCTATTTATAGTATTTTAGAAAAAATATTAAATTATATAAATTAAAATAATTATCGTTTCATACTATTAATTCGTGTAATTTCCATATTATTAGAAAAATATATTATTTAATTATCAATTTAATATTAAAATACTACTCAATTTGTATTTAATTATAATATAATATTAATAAATATAATTAAATGTAAAGTATTATTCTAACTAATAAATGTATGAAATGAATATAAAATAATGAATAAATTTAATAATACATATATTATATAAATAATATTAATGTTATATTGAATGTCAAACCAATGATGTTTTATAAGAAATGTTGAAATAATGTTTAATTGGATTCAATAAGCATGTGATCATCTGTTAGCGGTGGCCGTCGTTTTTCTTGACCACAATCGAGTTCACCTGATTGAGGGACAGACAGTGAGGCCGAACTGGCCGACCGAACCACTCCACTGCTCTTTTGGTCGCTTTCTTTACCATATGTTTCATCTTCTGTCAACTCTTCGTCATCGAAGTCAATATCATCAGCGATGTCCTCACAAACAATGGTTGGTTGTCTTCGAGGTATATTAGCCTCACCTGAGTGTCGATCATTTATATGCATTTTTGTCAAACGTGATGACAATTCCATGGGTTCTTGAGATGAAGTAGTCGTAGCAGAAGGTGTCTTGAAGTGATTGTTTGGTGTCATCGTTGAAGTTGCCATTGTTTGGTCGCTATTATTAATATATTGATTGATTTTTTTGGCGCTCTTATCAATAGTCATTCACAATATTTCTTGTTAAAAATATTTCATCAAATTATCTTTACGTGTAATGCGCTTATTATTATATTATATGCTAAAACAAGAAAAAATATTGTATAATAATAAATATTAGAAATAAAACTAATGTGATTTAAATATTTATATATCACTTAATATCAATTTAGTATACTTTTGATATATTAATATATATTTAACGTAACATATAATTACTGATTTGTATCAAATGGAAAAACGTAATGAATATTAGACTATTGAGAGTAGAATTGAATTATTAATAAAAGCAATAGTTTTTTGTCTTATTATTATATCTTATAAATATATAGTTTATATTTAAATGGACGTAATGTAGCTCTAAGTTGAAGAGTTTGCGCTAAACTATTGACATTATAAGACATTTATATATGAATATAAATTATTAGATATTTTTCATATCTTAATATTGACTTTAATGTCTTATTGTTATGTCTTATATATGTTATATTTTCAATATATATTAGTCTATGATAATTAAAACACTACGAAAACATACAGAAAAATAATTATTTGCTATTATCCTTGTAATCAACTTTTAGGACATCAATGTCATAACATATCAAATGGCATACATTAAGAAAATACTTGAACTCCTTTTTTAGATTAAAACATTTTTATAATATTTATTTTAATTAATTTTCATAATTATCAACACATAATTATTATGACACTTCATTATAATTGAAAAATAAATGCTAAATCTATAAAACAGATATAAAATGAAAATAATATTATAAATAAATATTCAATTAAATTCTCAAATACAGTGAGTTTACAAATATTATAATTGACTGCATTGTCATTAATAACAATATAAAACATTGTAAAAAAGTTACAATATTTATAATTTTAAACTTAATATCTCTTTTCTCATATTACACATAATATCTTTTTATCATTAGAATAATAAATTGTAAAATAATCAATCTATTTATGTTGATATTATATTAAACAATATAATTTATATAGTATATAAATAGATATAACATTAGTATATGTAGATATAACATAATTAGAAAATTACAATTTTATTTTAAATTTCAAAAATATTAAATTTATATAAAATGTTAACTTACTTATTGAATTCGTGAGGTATCGTTAATCGGTGTGAAACCAACACAACAATGTTTGCTATTTATAAAACAATTATTACTTATATAAACTTAATAATTATAATATACAATATATATATTTAAACTTGGATAAAACAGATGTCAATATATAATTTATATAATAGAAAACATATACATTAAAGTTAGAGAATTTATTATTTATGTTAATAAATATATAAATTATAATTACATTCATATATTTTTTGGTCAATTTTTTATTTATCGTTATTTAAGTTATTAGTGGTTATATGATATTTATAGAACAAGTTTAGATATTAATGAATAGTACATTAAAATATTAATAATATATTTATAAAACGATTTTCTCGTAATACTTAGTGAATAGCTGTGTGTGTGAACTAAAACAGACTGACTGTCCGCACAGTTAGGTTTCTCCAACTCTTTTTGCTCCAACTCTTCTCAACTCTTTTGTATTGTGAAAGAAATGAACAAAAAATGAATCGAAAAATTGGTAAAACTATTACTGGGATTGACGTCAAACAAGAGTCGGTCTCTCAATTGAAAGTCAGTCAGCGATCAGTTTAATCAATCAAACAATTTTCTTCTCTCTCTCTCTCTCTCTCTCTCTCTCTCTCTCTCTCTCTCTCCCTCTCCTCATACAATATCATTGAGTGAGTAAGTCATAGAAATTTTCACTATATATTGAGGACACGCGCACTATAGGGGAAGTATTAGAGGGGTATTCAACCAGTTTTACGTAAAAGACTATATCTATTGCTATAAATTGAAAGGAAGGGCTTATGAGTGAACGTGTGTGTGATATATACAGTATATGTTTGTATGATATTATTGACTGCTATTCCTTGCAATACATGATCTCTAATATTCTGTAAAACAATGATAGAGTGGCACTAATTCTGTACTCATTTGACTCATATATTGCATGACTATTGACACATAAGTGTAGGAAATTAAAAATAATATTAATACTACTATTATTTAATCTCAAAATTAATTGCAACAAATATGTCACTTAATATATATATATATATAACTGTTTACATTGAATATAATGAGTAATCATTAAAAAATATATAAATAACAAAAAATATCGCACAAAATTAATATAAAAAATAATTTTCTCTTAAATTGCCAGAAATAAAATATCGCAATGAAAAGCATGGCTAATGAAAAATGTTTAAAAATAAGTGATACGATTTTTATGTATAATCACCTGATGTTCCGTATGTATAGTGTTTTATCCCAAACTCCCGGGTTCTCTCATTTTTACTACATTTACATTATTTTAGCCATATTATTTTATACAGTAATAAATGGGTTTAAGAATTTGCGTAAATTGTGACGAAAATCGGGGACTAAATGTAGGGGAGGGTTAGGGATGATAATAGCACTCATAAACATATAGACCATATAATTGCACCATTAAATTGAACTAGCTAATACTGCTATTTATAATTTTTATATCATTATTGTCGTAGTTATAATATATAAGGTATATATAAAATACAAATCAAAATTTATAAATTATAATTAATATAAAGTACTAATATTATGCGATTAATAACAATAGTAAATAAAATTTATAATATATATAGTTTACCTATAAATGTATAATAAGACCAAATATAAATGCATTAATATAAATTTCATATTATATAGAGTATGTCACCAAAAATAAATTAATATCAATAGTACAGTACAGGTGTATAAATTTTGATTAGACAGTGTACTAGTTTTTATGATTCAAAATTGGTAAATGTAATCATTTTTTTTATAAATAATATTTATTGCAATATAATTCAAAAAATATCAACTGTTATAATATACAGTGATTTCTACATTGACTAACAGTAAATTTATAATATATATTATATAATGATAAGATTAGAAAGTAATCTTAAAATAGCATTATTTTTATAGCATTAATTACAGCTGTCGTTTACAGTAATTTTTCCACAATTTTTGGATAATCTTTTTAACTATTAATGTTTTTGTATATTGAAATCAATTTTAAATGAAACGTATGACAATAATTAAAAATAAAATTGTTAGACATTGACTAATCTTCAAATAAAATAACTAAATTGTTATAAATCTCTTATCTTATACACCACAAGAAACTAAAAACAATATAAAAGCAATTAGTTTTATGTGTTTTATCAAAATATGTTTTAATTTGTTTTTTTGGCTGTAAATTGACGTCAAAGGAAAGAGAGCTAAAGTCATAATAAATTGAAAATAAACTCAATTTCAGAGTTGGGTTTTAATCAAAACAACTATTTTTTAAATCATTATTTTAAATTACATTTATACAATTAATTTGGGAAACTGTGAGATAATTAAATGCAAAACAAATAGAAAGTCTATAAACTTTTTTTTATGATTTTCATTTTAATTATGTATAAATATCATTAATATCATTAAAAATCATTAATATTTTACTATATTTTATACATATATTGTTTTATATACATTAGTTTTAACTAAAATACTAAATGCATTTTAAAATTAAAGTGTAATAAAAACTATTCTGTTTTTAAATTTAATTTTAAGTTAAAATTGATGATAAATTTATGGAATTAATTATACAGTATAATACAAGTATACACTACGCTATATTGTGGGCAATAAATACAGTATATTATGGATAAAATATGATAACATATATAATTAAAAATGATTATTCTTAATGATTATTAAATAAAATAATTATTTCGTAACCTTAAACTATTGTATTTTAAATAACTTGTTTAGTATTTATATAAATTATTAATGATAATATGTATACTATGTATATAATAATTATTTTAATTGTATTACATACACAAATAAATATATAAGTTGTAAATTACGTTAATTATAATTAACTATTTCAATGAAATATTTTTGCGGTAATTATCAAAAATCATTTGAAAATATTAATAGTTTTAACTTTTGTATAAATATTTATTATAATATAGTAAAACTTGATTTGATTTACAATATTAGAAAATACTAACAATTGATTGACTAATTAGCAAACAAAATGATTTGACAAATGAAGTCCAAATCAGACAAATCTTGAGCTGATGGCAATGATTTTGGCCAATTCGGGTCCTTTACTACGGAGATAGTTCGGCACCGGAACCGCTACTCTAGTGCCCAATGGATTGCCATTATCTTCAATGAGTACCACATTATTTGTGTCAAATTTGGGAACCATTGGTCTTTGATAAGCGCGAAGACCGACGAGATATCCTCTTTTCATTTGACCCTTTATTGTGACCAAAACTTTATCACCCAATTGTCCGACTGGTTGGTTAGTTCCGGTCTTTTTCTTTGTATAGACATGAATGCACTTAACTTTGCTGCCATCAGTCATAGCCTCCCGACCCAACTGACTGTTGTCTACCACCCGAAGTCGCGTTTGTTTTGTAATCCATTGAAGTACTGGTGATGTGCTGGACATCAAGTCATCGGTAAATATTAGTCATCATATGTGTAGCCAATACTCACTGAAAAGCATGTCTTTGTGTCAATGATTGTCCAATCAATACATTTATCGGTTGTCTTAATATATGTTTAATCATTATATCACTGTTTGTGTGATTACTATAGGAATATAAATCAATTCAATTTGAAAACAATTGTTGCAATCAATACATGCCGTCATATACTCACACCAGAGGACTCTCTTATCAAACAAATGTAATCAAAGATTAATATGATTTATATTACAGTATTATAAATCAAATGTTAATCAATATTATATTAATTTATTTTTATTATAATAATAATAATAATTAATAATTAATAATTAATAATTAATAATTAATAATTAATAATTAATAATTAATAATTAATAATTAATAATTAATAATTAATAATTAATAATTAATAATTAATAATTAATAATTAATAATTAATAATTAATAATTAATAATTAATAATAATAATTAATAATTAATAATTAATAATTAATAATTAATAATTAATAATTAATAATTAATAATTAATAATTAATAATTAATAATTAATAATTAATAATTAATAATTAATAATTAATAATTTAATTTAAATAAAAAATAATATTTTAATACAACTTAATTAGCAATTAATTTTTAAAAATTATTACCCCGCTTATAATAATTACAGGCCTCGGTAGCCGAAAGGCTAAGTTTCTGCTTTCGAGTACTGCAACCCGGGATCGGGATTAAGCATAATTGAGATTTTTTAAGGCCAGGAAACAGATAATATATGTAGTACTCTGAACTGTCCTATCGTTAATCGGTATGTATTCCTCAAACCGATTGCACTTTCAATGGTTATGAGTGCTGTACACAGTATAACCAATATATCGCTAAAGAATCATAGATAGGGTTCTCAAAACACCGTCAATGACAACAAATCATATATTGGTTATCATATTAATTGTATATCAAATTAGTCTATAAAACTAAATATTCTTTTGTTTGTATTTGTCAACACAGTATTTAATGCGGGAAAAGGGATTAAAAATAATATAATATACAATATAACGTAAAAATAATATAATATACAATATAACGTATGCATTATAAACCAATATTCACGATTCAAGACAGTTGAGAATATTAAGCCCTAGCATTGCCAGACAAAAATTTGTTTTAAAATATAATTTTGCTACAAATTGTCTGTTTATTTGTGGTCAATGAATCTAATGAGTGGTTTAATGTGGGCTCTCAGGTGGACTAAACGGTCTTAAAAAAGGTTAATATATACATCAATCTTATAACTACTTATCTAAAACAATAAATTAAATACTAATTATAAATATTATGATATATCTACAGTATATATGAGATAAATCCTATCACCACATATGTTATGATTTGTTTAATAATTAGTAAACATATTATAAATTAATTTTGAATTAATAAATAATTTATGAAACAAATGATTGACGTAAATAGTGGTATTTTTTGTTATTAATTAATTATAATATAAAATGTATCGCAATTAATAAAATATAATACTGTATATGCTATTAATAGCTTGCAATTACTGGAGACAATCAAACAACACATTTATAATTAGTTTTATAACAATCATAAAAAATATAACAAAAACATTTAATGATATCAATTTATGACAAACTTAATAAATTATAAAAAAAAATTTTGTAAACTAATTGTTTATCAATTTATTTTTAACAATTCATCATTTAATATAATTATATTTTAAATAATATTTAAATATTTTTAACAATAATAAAAATTACATAACATTATATATATTAAAATTGACTTAGTTTAAAATTAATCAATCGATATTTGTTAAATATTAAATATATTATTAAAATTATAGTTATTTTATATAATATATATTATTGACTATATGATATCTTTTTAAAAAGACCTGTCTGCAAATAATGTTCAAATAATTAATTTTATGAAATAATTTAATGACATGTAAAATACGGTAAACTAATGTAAATAAATTCAAATGATATATAAACTCATTAAATGGTAATTTTATAGTTATTAAAAATTTGTTTTTTTAATGTAATGTTTGAATTCATTTATAAAAACATTTGATTTCCTGAGTTTGATTCTCTTTAAATTCAATATAAAAGTTATATTATATAAAATGTTTTAAACTTATATATTATAAAAAAAGTGTTGCATAATTTATGTTATAATGATAAATTTCTATTTAACTATAGTTAAATATAATAGGAAGAGAAACATAGCATTAAGCGTTATAGAAATATAGTATTTAATATTATATATTACTGTATATAAAAACAGGAATTGCATTTAATATTGGGTCACATTTGTATAATTTGAAAAAACTTTTACCTATTTATGTAAAACAAATTCTAGTGTAAAACTAGTTTTAAGGCAGATAATGATTATAATTATAAAGATTTTAAATATTAATTATTGTCAGTTTATCTATTATTTGCAAATTTGTGTGTAAAGGAAGTTTGAAACTACGATTTAAGATAAATTATCATTATCAGATTTAAAAATTAAACTTTATAATGAAAATTAATTAAATATTTAAGTTCACTTAATACTAAAAAATGTAAAAATTTAAATCTAAAAACAAAAAAAAACTAACTAATATAAAATCAATCGTATAATTTAGATTATTATAATAAAATATAATACCCTGATAAATATATAGTTTAGTTCAAATTTATACATAAAAGATTACGGCACCAATAGTTATGGTAATAAATTTATAATTTAAATAAAGAGTAAATATATATATATATATATATTATAAAACTAAATATACTAAATCCATTGGCTAATTATTAATCTCTTTTTGTTAATTAAAAAAATAATTATAAAATTATTTATTGTTCGTCTAAATTTTGTTAAATTAATAAAACTTATATATATATTAATATATATATAATAGGATACATATATTATTAAGTCAAACAAATTACTCTACAAATGTTACTATAAATCATTTATACTAATTAATAAAAGATTTTTGTTCTCATATTTCTGTTTAAAGTTTTTTTTTCAATTACCGGTAATTAAATACAATAATACATTATACTGCTGTGTTAGACAACTTTTTTATAGCTAATAAAGTGTTTTTCATTGGACAGGACTACCCCATACCAGCACCAAATGAGTTTAACCTTTTGATCCCGAATTAAAGCCCGAGAGTGTGCAGTAAACACAATGTGCAAATAAGAGCCATAACCGGCCAAACAATGCCAAAGTGCATGCAATTGTGTGAATGGCACCAAAAATGATGGTAATATTTGTCTAAATAGACCTAATTTATCACAAAATATGTTATCGATATTCCAAAGAGCGAAACCTAATTACCAGAAATAGATTTTTAAATTAATTCATTTTTCAATAAATGTAAAAAAAAATTTCGATATAACTGGAAATGAAATAAAAATTGTTTCAAATAAATTATAATTACAAACTAATATTATGACAAATGTTTACACCTACCGGTGTAATAAAAAATAGCGGCCCATATAAAAATCCTTTTGTCACACGGCTTGTACTTAACCAAACAAATATCCCAATAAAGCATAAGTGTTACCATAAAACCATACGACACTTGAAACAAAATCGGTGTTTTGAAACACAGATACAGAAGCGTTGATATTATGCCATAACTTATTAGACCAACTTTAGTGGCCAACAATTGCTTCCACGAACAGTCAATCGGATAGAGTAGTGTTAGCATACAGTAAACAAGCATTAGACTACCCCATAGCATAGGTAGCTCATCAAACAGTTGCATCTCATACTTTAGTGTCATATGAAACATCCAGGAGCCACAGCCTACCAAACATAAAAACCTGTAATTCAATCAAATTTATCATTCATTTTTTAATTATTAGTTTTAAGCAAATATGCAAATGTATTGATACTGACAATGAAAGTAAAAGTATTTCGTTTTTTAATATAAGGAAACAAGTATTTTGTCAGATCTTAGGTCAAGAAAACCTGCTTTTGGTGTCAAGTATTGCTAAAAATCAAATGTTGACATCAATATCACATTAATATCATATATCATAAATTGATAATACTTTTCAAAGTATTTACAAATTAACGTTTTTCATAACTTAAGTATAAAAATAGATTAATATTAAGCTTATAGTTTACATTGTAGTTTTAAATTAAATTATTAAATATATGATACAGGAAGTGATAATATTTCAATTTAATACTATTGTATAACTACTGTATTAATAATAGTGATGTATTTAGTATGCAATATATGATAGTGTATATGCTATTATCATGATATGTAAAATGATAATTGTCTGCAAAAAAAAGTATACAGTAGTATATCTAAAGTAGTCTATGTTTGTGATTGAAATGTAAATTGATTGGTATATTAAGTGAAGTCAAGTAATATCATATACGATAATACTGTAGTTATGTTGTAATACTGTATATCAATAGTAAAATTAGAGTAAATTTAAGTTATGATCAAATAATATGATACCCGAAGCATAGCATATAACGTCTCTCCAAGTCATTGATGAAAGCGTGATAAATGGCAATAATTGGCGGCCAAATCATCACCACATTTGACACTGTGTTCCAAAACTCGGCCACATATCGGGTCGTCTCGTAGTTGGTCTCACACCAGTCCAAAGTGGAAGTCACGACACCCCACATACCATACACCCCGGGCTCAGACAGACCAATGCTGGGCGCCATTCAAACACTCACTAATATAATAGTCTTATTGTCTTCTGTCAAGTGATTCAGTTGTCAATATTAGAGATGACTTAATGGTCACAATGTTATCACTCAAGAGATTGTATTACCAAATAGTCGTCACAATTGACTGACTTTTCACACATGCATTGCATTCACTATTAAACACAACATTTCATTGCTATAGACCTCCCCTTCGCTTCCCTTTTCACTTAAAACTTGTTTTCAGTTTTCAATGAAATTTACCTCAAAAACAGATGATTTCAATGTATTGTTATTTTCTTTTAAATAAATTTTGTTTGCAAACAAATAATATAATTTAATTTAATAGTTAATATCATTTATCATATATTGTCAATAATATACATATATTGCTATACATTAACCATAAGTAATAATAGTACGGCAATTGTATCGCTTATGGTTCCGGTTTTATCAATTACCGTAGATTACGGTTTCGGTTCAGTTTGCAGTTCTAATAAGTATAATATTTAGTCGTATTATTTAAATTTCATTGATGAGTTTATTTGTAAAATTGTGCATGATTAATACATTTACTTTAAACAATAACAATAATATTGTGATTTGTATTGGATTTAAGGATATTTATCAATATTAATAATTATTTACATTTTATAAAATGAAGTTTTATGGCAATTACCGTAAATATTCAGTAACTTATGTATAATATTAATTTATCGTATATTAGATGACATATTATGTATATATTGAGCACATAATTAACATTTAAATATATAATTTATGGAAGTATTTATTCCTTTATAGAGATTGGAATTAAATTAATAATAAATACCTAATAAATACTTAAGTCATAACAAAATAACTGCAAAATAGACAAAATTATATTTAAAAATAAATAAAGTACCAATGTAAATTAGTAGTTATGAAATATTACTGGAAATAAATAGTAATGTTAATGTACTAATGATTTCATATAACAGTGAGATGTTTTAAAGTCTAACTCCGGGAACGGGTGGAAGCGGTCGCTTCGGATTATCTCTAAGAGCATGTCTGGCAGTTCTAAACGTCGTCAGTGTTGGTGATTGAGTCGGAAGATCGCTATAAATGCCGTGCCTTTCAAAACGTGCCGATTGAAGATCGTCAGGAAGACGACCGCTACGAGCATTTATTTGTGAGTGAAAAGGTCGCGGCTTTTTCTGTGGCCGACCACCAGTCAAGTAATTAAGTTGTTGTTGTGGTGTTGGGTTAGACAGATTGTAATGAGACCGAAGCAATGGTGTGGCGCTACCCAATTGTCCTAAAGTGGCCGCTCTATGTGCCCGACGGAGAGATCGCGATTGATATATATGTTGATTGGGATTGTTTGATGGCAAGTAAGCTGCGTTATCATATGAGGCATCAGGTAATAGAGCCGATGATGATCCCAGTGCTGCCATACGTACGGCATCCGCAACTTCGCTATAAGTGTTGCATACAGCATAAGGACTGATAGAAGATCCGCCTAATATTATTGGTGTCGGAGTAGACAAGGCATGAGTGACACCCGCCGGATCTAATTCAGCGTAGACTGGGCTTGAAGTACAACTGGCGGCATCACTATATGGATCCATATCAGTGCTTACATCAGTTCCTAATCTGTCGTCGCCAACATTTGGTCCTCTTTTCCAATACTTACTAGAAATGCTTGTTTTCTTAGTCGGCTCATCAATGATGACACTTTGCGGTGACTTTTCATTAACCACGGGTGAGATGCATGAATCAGTCGGCGAACAGGGAGGTGGCGCCGACTTATGTCCGCCTAAAAAACTCTCGGGGAGTATAGGACACGAGTCGCTCACAGGAAATATCTTCCAACTATTGGTTTAAAATACAATTAATAAAAATTGTCTTAAATTTAATTTTGTTTAAATGACAAATCAATAATTACTTCTTGAATTTGACGAGAATTATGAGTAAAAATATAAGAAAAGCGAGCGAACAGACAGTTGTGACCACAATAATGGTTAGCCAGGAATCAGACGTAACTTCAGAAGAGTTGGCTATAGTTGGGAAGTGTCCGTTGTGTACAAAATAATCCAATATTTCGCAAATACCACAATCTTCTTGTTCGGCGACTTCTTCATCATTAGTCTTATTGAATTCATTTTTAATAGCTTTCATTATATGCAATGGTATCGGTGGTGGTCGTGGAAAGTCATCGGGAGGTGTATCCAAACAAATCAATTCATCGCATGTAAAGCTATCTCCTTCGTAATCAACATCAAGAAGACTGCCGTCGCTCACCACAAGTGATCCAAATATTAATATGAAAAACAAAAACATTAGTTTATCCATCATTTTGACCATCAATTTGGTTGACAATCAATCTGTAAATGACATTCAAATGATTGTATTATTTGTTGCATTCAATGACAATACATAAACATTTGTGTCATAATGTGTCCAATAATTGTATTAAATATTATGTAATGTAAACAACAAATGCATTCAATTGAGTCATCACTCAATCAATTGAATCCATTGTTGTTATTATTGTCACTCAATGTTAGTGTTAATTCACAATCAGTTCAATGCCTGTAAACTGTACTCTCATTTGGCACTCACTTACAAAATGCTGACATCTATTGCTATTTACTATTATATTCAATATTTTTTAAATAAATTTTATAAATAATTACATAATAATAATATAAACTAATATTTAATATAATTTCATTATTTATTAAGTATAAACATTTCATTTCTTTTATTATATCCATTATATTTAATTTAAAGACTAGTTATTTATAACAAAAATAATAATAATAATAATTTCAAAATATAATTAATAATTATATGTATATATATTATAAAATATAATCATTTAGTAATTAAATAACAATTATTAGAAGTAATTACTGAAAATATAAAATGAAAATCCAAATAAAATGATTGCATTTTGTATTTAAAATTATAGAGTAATATAGTATTTGTTTGCAAAACACAAACATATTGTTTGTTTAATCTTTTAGAGCCAAATGTAATGCTTTCGTTAATATTTATATAATAATAATAATAATTAATTAATCAATTAATTAATTAATTAATTAATAAAAATATGTTAAAATGATTGCTAACAACAACTAATAAAAAGTTTGTTCACTTTAATGGCTTGTAATGTAACACTAAGTCTCCACCACTTTTCCAAATGAAATGTCTAACAGTCCTTAGATCGAGATTAGGGTCGAGAACCATCTCTTGACACGAGAGCTCAACTTTTTCTTCAGCAATGGATAATCTTTCGTCATCTCTATCGGCGCCCGAATTATCACTATTTTTGGTTCCATTATTGTGGCCATTAGTGGGACCGGTGCTGCCGGTGGCTGAAGTGGACTGTGCAGCTGTTGATCCCGATTCTGAATTAGTGCCCAACATTTTTTCGTAGACATGTTCAATAACTTTGCGAACCTGAAGCATATCACTGGCTGATAACCGTTCCTTACGTAATGGTTTGATACCGGATGAGATGTGGGGTAATAAATAAAATGGTATTTTGTTAAATTTAGGCATATTTTTGTCCACTACGACATCCTTAACCCACGGCGGAACCGTGTCCTGCAATAACAAGTCCTCAGTCTCTCGTCGGGCGTCGCACACCAATAATCTGAGTAAAGTTCGGTTTCCACTCTCACTAAATATAACCGGTGTATGCGATGGCACTGAAAAGTATTGATTCACTGGTCTCTCAAGTCTTTCGTTGACATTATTTTGTTTTGGCTCTTTAGATGGTATACCCTGTGGCTGACCATTCATAGAATAACCGTTGGCTTCTATTTCTTCTTCATTATTATAAATTGGTGGCCAGTATTCCAATAATGCTTGTAATAGAAGTCCTCCCAAATTGATTTTAGGATCCGGTCCGTCATTTTCACTGTAAAATCCAAACTCTTTGGCCGAAACCCACGCAGCAAAACAATCGGGTTCTTCTAAATGAATAGAAAGCATACCCATCTTGAGATCAACAGTAAACCAATTGGGAACGTAAACCATTTTAAAACGTTTCTTGACTTCAGTATCAAAGTCAACATCAGTTCCGAGATCTTCGACTTTAGTTGCAGTCAGTACGTCATATATGGCAACCTTATTATCGGTGTCTTTAGTCATTATATATCTTTTATCGTTAAGAACCGTATAGTTCCTAATCGAAGGATTTCCTTTGATTTTCCATTCTTCACAATCATTAATGGGTGGTCCGTCGGTATCGTATTCCTCCCAATTGCTAAAACTTCCTTTATATTTGTTATGAAGTAATGACCAATTTTTAATAGATGAATCAGTGGTGGCCACCCATATTGAGTTGTTATCTGGCGGTGTTAATAGCAATTTGAGTATCGGTGCCGACTCTACACATATCACAGCTCTGTTATCAAGATTTCGGAGGTCTGTCATAATCACTCGTTTGTCGCGACCACCGGAATAAACAGTAGTAAATGACTCATTTGTTTGTAAAGTCCAGACGCCCTCATCGTGTACTCTAAATGTGGCGACACATCGTTGTTGTCCTAATGACCACTGTCTGATCGTGCCATCAGAACTCGCTGATAAACACTGAGTTCCGTCACGGCTTACCACCACAGCTCTCACGTTATCCGAATGGCCCTTAAGTTTCATTAATTTTTGACAAGTTCTGGGATCCCAAACCCGTAATACTTTCTCAGTAGAACCCGAAACAATGACAGTACCGGCGCTATTCATCGCCAATGAGTAAATACTGTCCTTATTGCCAGTTAGTGATGATGTGGTCACTGTATTATTAGATGCGGTCAATGCTGTCAATGTGTTAACATCCCAGAGAAATATAGCTCTGTCGAGACCAGCACTGGCCACTTGTTCCTTGTCCTTAGCATAAGCTAAACATTTAACATAGTCTTTATGTGTCCTCAATGTCGACATACAGAAGCCTTTGTTGGCGTTCCACACCTTAACAGTTGTGTCACTGGACGCCGATATCAGATTTTTGCCGCCGCAGCACAAGATTATATCATTGCACCAATCGGTGTGGTGTTCCATGGATTGGATATATGGGTTGGCCTGAGTTCGGGTATTCCATATCCTAATAATTGAGTCCCGACCGGCTGAATATAACCGACCCGAATGGCTGTCCAATTGTAGCGAATTGACACCCGATCGGTGATACTTTTCCACGTCTTCGCGTATCACATAAGAAACGGCCACCTTTTTACGTGTTTGGTGACCCGATATGGTCCGCGTATGCATTACCGACATGTTTGCACTGACCAATCCGTCACAATTGATATTTACCGTTTGGGTCTTTCAGTGAAGACCTCAAATATATGCCCATTCGTTGGTCAGACACCCATCGAGTTTACCATTGATCCGATGTTTTCAGATATCAAACAATTGCTTGTTTTAGTCGTAGAGTTTGTCGACAACTAATTGACTGATTAGTGGATAATGTAATCAATCAGTTGTTGTGACTTTCAAGACATTTATGACATTAATTGTATCAACAGTTGTATAGTTATTATCGCCATTGGATTCAAACAATTGCTAATCAAATACTATTGATATAAATATCATATAATAAACACAAATAATAAACATTTCATTTCATTTGTAAAATTCATCGTAAATTCAATATAAACACAACAATAGGCTTCACATCAATAATGTTATCAAATATTAAAAACAAATTATATTATTATTTTTAAGACATTAGATGTCACTATACTATACAATACATGTAATGTAAATTAAAATAATGTAATTAAATTTAATTATTAAATTTATATGTTATTACAGATAAGTATTTTTATAGTGTATAAATATAATTTAATATAAAAATTTATATATTATTTATTATATCTAAAGTAATGTTAGATAAAATTATTGAAAATTATAAGTAATTGTAGTTAAGGATATAAAAAGGTTATACTTGTATTTAAGTTTCAAATATCATATTAAAATTATTATACAATATTGTAATAATTAATTGTCTACTATAAAATCAATAATTACAAAAAATTAGTATTTTTATAGAAATTACTTTTGTTATTCAAATTAACAAAATTAATTAATAAATTATACATTAAAAAACAATAAATAACATTTTATGACTAATATTAATAACTTGTGAATAATAAATGATCTATATTTTGATTATTATGGTAAATATTATATGAACAACTAAAAAGATTTTAAATATTAATTATATTTATAATTTTTTAAGTATGTTTTGTAGCAAATATTTTAATTAGTATTTTGTTGTTGTTGTTGTTGTTGTTGTTGTTATAAATGAATAATTAAATCAATTTTTACTAATGCTTTGTAATACATTATATCATTTGTACAAAGATAAACATATTGTATATCATTTTAGGTCATTAACCAAACATTACTCTTAAGATACCCAGAATATGGAATTATATCTATTAATAATTATTTATAATATTTATTAAAATAGTTTATTTTCTATTACATATGATTCTTAAATATTTTTTGACCACAATTTAAATGTTAACAATGATGTTTAGTTTGGTATATATTTTATTTTATTTTTTGTTGTTGAGAATATTGAATTTATTAGAAAACTTTCCAAACTTTAATTGTAAAAATAATATTTTCATACAATATTAATAAAATCTTAGTAAATAACAGTTTATAAAAATAACTATTAATATAATGTATTTGAAATCTTATTAATAAAAATAGTATATTATATGATAATAAGGTTAAATTAGTTAATCTATTACTAAAATATACTGTTTTGGAAACTTTACTGTTAAAATTTAGTAATAACATTTAAGTTAGTATTACACAATCAGATTATAATAACAATTATAAACTTAATAGTTTAACTGTAAACTAGACTATCTATTAATTTTAACCATTGTATGAATATTTAAAAAAGTCAGATATTATTACCCAATAAATTATTATACAGTGATTATCATCTTATAAATTATTATCAACTATTAAATACAATTATATAAAAGTTGCAAATAAGATGAGTTGCACATTGAATAGTATAGTAAAATACAACCTTAAAGGGAGTGACTTGAGGAGTGGTTTATACAATACTATATAATAGTCTATATTACTGTACATTAGTGTATAAAGAATACGGTACTATATTTTATGGTAGAGTACTGGTTAGGACAACATTTTTGCTAACCGTTCTTTAAAAAAAAGCTTACAGTCCTCAAAACAATCTTCAAATATATACTATTTTTATATTTCATTAGTATTTTAATATTTTCTAGCGTTTAATTATAATTAACAATTACCAATAAAAATATGCAATCTTACAAATATATTTATTATTTAAAAAAATTTTAAAATAGGCAAATATTTTGAATCATTAGTTTTTATTAATAATCTTTACCACAAATACTAAAAATAATTTATATATATATATATATATTTATATATATGTTATGACAATTAAATCAATTTTATGACGTGATATATCTATATAAATATTAATATATACTGATTGGACAGTTAGCTACTATATAGAAGACATCTAAGTTTGTTAGTTTCACTCTTGAGTTGTGCGATTTCAACCCTAAGTTTAAGATTTTCCTGTTCAAGAAAAGCGGCTCTAATGGCGATCTCGTCTTCTTTAGCTCTTCGGGCATCTCTCGATCGTTTTGCTGCTTCGTTGTTCTTTCGTCTTCTTTCCCAATAAGCGTCATCTTTGAGATCTTCTGGCAGCGGACGACCTCTTTTGCGTAACGCTGAAGCAGAAAGATGTTGATTATGACTGTGCTGTAGCTGATCATCATTGCTATCGTCACTAATATTGTGTCCATTTTCCAATTTAGAGCTACAGTTTAAGGCCATTGACCCCACATCTGCCTCACCAGAAGATGAGTTTCCACTGGAATTTCCATTAGAGTATTGAGACGTGTCGTCTGTAGTATTAATATGAGATGCCGTAGACATGGGTTGCAATGAACCGTTCATTTTAGGGTTCATAATGGGTATCACTTGTTGTTTCGGAGGTGTTGTCGATTGACAAACATTTTGATTCATATAAATTGAATTTTGATTTAAATTGTTATCATTTGTACCGTTATTATTGCCGTTTGAATTGATAGGTGGAGAAGCTAATGATGCACTGGTAGTCTGTGTACTATTCTTTGGCATCGATTGCTGACCATCTGATGTTCTTCGCGTCTGTTCGTGAGTGCTCTTACGTGAGACAAGCATTTGTTCCCTAAATTGTAAGTACGCCTGATCTGAGGCGGTGGCCATTATTGATTGCGTGGCAATAGCTTCGGGAGTCATTGGCATTTGTAGTCCATGTAATGCATAATAATTCATTGGAATGGATAAGGGGTCGCGCGGGTAGGCTTTAAATGGACGGTTATGTTTGAGAGAACGCTTAGCCGTGTCATTAACAGCCAATGAGGCCATATGGGAGGCAGTGGTCAACAAACCACCTGATGTACCAAATCGGTCAATACCTGTGGAACTCGGAGAATGTGGGAAATGCATTTCCACCTGATTTAAGGGACCCATTCCTATAGGAGATACACTTCCGGTTGGACTCAATGGCGAATTGTGTCGTTCACCAAATGGTGTTATCGACTGTAGGTTTTTTGCCTGCGGTGGTGACGATACCGACAATATAGGCAAACTCTGACCATTATATCGTTGAGCATTTTCGGCGGCACTTAACTGCTGTTGAATTGACAGAGCATTGGCTGAACTTTTATTAGATACAAGTTTTCCCGTTGGCGTTGAAATAAGATTTCCGGTTAAGAGTTGACATAATACTTGGTTTGAGTTGTGATGATTGTTCGGGTTGTGCTCTGGCGGTGATGGCGATGGAGTTGTAAAGCAATTAGTGACCGATGGCTCTCTTGATGATGACTTGTTTGTAAGCGGACGAGACTTTTCTTCTTTATCGGTCGAGTGTCTGTCCCGTCTTTTGCCATTTACTTCTTGTTTTACATTAATGTTGGTCAGCGATGGTGTGGACGGCGGACGAGCTTTAGCCGAAAAGTCCAATGGCTGGTCATAGGACTCGTCTGAATTAGGAGAGTATTGGTTGACTGTGCCGTTGGTTAACATTGCTTATAGATGTAGTGTTGGTGTAGTTGTTGTCAAGTTGTGGACACAACTGTTTGGTGAACCCTTTAGTTCCCAAAATGTGATTATTATATGATATGTAGTGTTGTGTGTGTTGTATGCAAAACACGTAACGCTAGTCCACACACAACACACTGTTATATGTGCTTATAGTGTGGTAATGCCTGTAATGCCTGTAATACCAGTACAGGCAGTACTCTCAACCTAACAACCAATGAGCGAACCGGGCGTACACTATAACCCTCTGAATACTAAAAACAAGCATTTATTGCATCCAACACTTCCAACACTTCCAATACTTACTAAACTTAAACCCTTTCCCTTTCAATAAACACTAAACAATAAAAGCAATGCAATAAACTGTAAGGCGAGGGGAGAGCAGCGTTAGGTTTGAGCAAAAACACCCTGTGCTGTGTCTCAATGTGTTGTAGGACTTAAATAATTGAAATTTATTTATTAAATTAATTACTCCAAAATAACTACATTTTTTGATTGCATTTCATATTTTAGTAATATTATATATGCAGTATTAATATTCACATATCAAGTAGTCGACCACCAGTTTGACTGTCCAACTATGTCTAACCAATAGAGCACAGTTAGCTTTTATATAGACCTTGAGCTTTGCACCGATAGCTTCAATGATTGCCAGTAACGAGTGTGTAATGTATGGACATTTAAACAGTTATTGTCCATTCAGTCAGTCTATTTGAATTAGAAAATAGCCGGTGCTATAAAATGACATATAAGGCACAGTCATAACCGTAAGTATTGAATCAACACTACGAGTCTTCAACCCTAATATTACACACACTGGACATCGGCTATATATATAGGGAAATAGAGAGAGCACTGGGAGTCGGGGATAGGCAGCTGTTACCGTTCAATTGGTATCGGGTTATGATAGGAAAGAGAGGAGTTTGTATGACGAATATATTGACAATATATGCCATATATTATTGATGTTAGCAATACATTGATAACTATTTTTAGTGACAAAAACTCACTGAATATTCTCAAAACTAATACATGAAAAGTATTTTAGCATTTTTTACAATCATTGAGAAATGGCTATTGTCTAACTGTCCAATGATTTTTCATTACAAATACATTTGATATACAAATATACATCAAATGTAATCATAAATTATTTTTTTTGGTACCAAAACCTGATATATGCATGAATTGAGATTTCAAAATAAAAGGGTAACAATAAATATGAAAATTTATATAATGAATAACCATTTATAGCATATGAAGCAAACGTTACATTTTTATTGAATAGTTTTTTATATGAAAGTTAGATTCTCGTCACTGACCACTGGTCTCACTTACAAAGCAATCATATGTTTGACAATCAAAACCACTGATCATTACAATGATTGCCAAATGCATTGATTGATTAAAGTTTTACTATTTTTAGCAAATTTTTCAAAAACATTTATAACATAACAATTTTTTCGCTTTTGTTATAATTCATTGCTTATAGAAAATACTCGCTTATTGTATTAAACTGTTGATCAATGTTATAGTAATCATGCAAAATATTAGCCGTTATATTAAAGATAGAATTATCTATTTAACCAATAATTTACAAACAACTTAAACTTTTTTTAAAACTTTAAATAATAGGCAAATAATTTTAAAACCTCAATGTTTGTGATTTATTAGAAAAAAATAATTAAATTTCAAGATTACTGCTGTGAAGCACATAATTTAGTTTTTCACTCAACTTTTTGACTATTAAGTTGATTAGATGTAATGTTAAGTATAATTTTGTAATCGAGATATAATATATATATATATGTTGTAAAATTCATGTAATATTTATCTCATATTTTGGAAAGTTTTGCAAATAATATTCAATACTTATTTCTTTCTTACTTTTAGTTAACAATGATTACCATATTTAGAAAGTTGAATAAACTTTTGTGCACACAATATGTATTCAATAAGTGTTATTGAAAATTATAGATTTTGGTGCCTTAAAGGGTTTTACAATATTCTTGTATATAACATATAAACACCGGTCATCACCAGTTGCTATGCTTTTTAATGTTATTCAGTGTCCATAACTATTGACCATAAGTTTGCTTTTAGGTATAACTCTTTCTTCTTGAAAAATGAGTTATTATTCATATTTTCAAAAGTATTTCCACAAAAATGCATAATATATTGCATACAAGCATTTTGTTGTTTACTTCAAAATCAGCTAACAGTGCGATAGAGAGGAAAGCTATTTTTGGGTAAACTCTGTCCTTCAAATGAGAGAAAGGACTGGTCATTGCAATTAAAGTGCTGCCAGTGTTTAACCCCTTTGCTGCCCTGTTATCCCCTTATGGTCTAACTCTCCCTAACTCTTCAATACATAGTTTAGGTAAACATTTTTACATTTTGTTCGCATAAGTCTTATAGATATATATATATATATATATATTGCAGTCAGACTGGCGACCACTACACAGCATAGGCAACAGTGCTGTATAACCGGCTGTCCACTAGTTGACGACTATAGTATCAACCCCTTTATATCCCCTATTAATGTAAAGCCACTGGCGAGTAAAGGCTTATGTATATGCCTTTACATATAAGTTAGAGTTATCTCATGCTTGAGGCATAAGCACTGGTCAGTTGTGATGCGAAAGTACTGTTCAATACACACAATATGTATACAACAGGGCGTAACTTCCTTACCAGTGCCCTAACAATCTTACAGTACTGATAACGCATTGCTTGCTATGCCATCAACTCTAACACTACTCTGCTTTCTATCTTTAGCTATATTGACACTGCACTGACCAAAGCTGATAGCATTGGGTATATGAGCTGTTTCTCTGGTCAGTTACCCCTTAAGATGAGGATATAAAAGAGGGTCATCTAAGAGGTTATGTCTTTTGAGACCTAACCCCTCACATACTCTTCCCAACAAACTGCCACACATACATACATACATGCATACACACACACACACACACACTATCGCACACTTTCCTAATCTTCTATCCCTTTGGGTTCAGCCAAAAGGCAACTATTCCTACAACTCTTGCAAAGGGTTTCGTTGTTTGTTAGCAAAAAGGAAGTCCGCAATAAGTCTTACAAAAAAAGACTCATTTTTACAAAAAAAAAATATATTCACTATTTTTGGCACTTATTATGAGTTATGAGAATGACATGAGTATAGTGTTTGAAATGGTTATTGAACTCAAAATTCATCATAACTTTTGTCAATCACTATAATCTCATTCATTCCATACAACTTACAGTACAGTATAATATGTATAACTTTTGAATGTATATATAATTTATAACATATGTATATTTATTTTTTTTAAATACTTATTTTTTAAATTAAAAAAATATTTTTATAATTTTGACACTTTCAACTAAAATCTATCAATATATCCAACATTAAAATGATAAAACTGTATATAATTATTTTATTAACAGTGTATTTTTATTTTAATGATTTAATCTATAAAAATTTTACTGTATAAATTGTACATGTATTCATTACATTTAAAATACTATATATTGTATACATTTTCATTTAATTTTACATTAACTACAGCACAATATTAATGAATTATTAAATATTTTTAGCTAAGAATTTTGCAATAATAATAATAATCTAAAAATAAATATTGTGTTGAATATTAAACGTCTGTTTCAATATTGTAATCAATAATAAAATATCAGTTATTATAATTTATAGTACAGTGTATTATTATTTGATGTAAAACTTGTTTTATTTAACTGTTATGACATATAGTTTTTCGGTTATATAAAAATATTGGAAATATATATGTAATAACATTGTAATATGTAATACCTATAATTAATAACAGGTGACAATAGACCATAAACTATGAGTTGGCCTGTCGTGACCTACTGGGGTGATAGTATTGGTTGCCCGGAGACAAAAGGTCGCAATTTGATGTGTGTTTGTGCCACACATTTATGTGTCAAATATGATTTGTATTCAATTGATATATTCATTCAATTATAAGCACATTATGTGAGAATACATGTGTTTATCAAATGCTCTTTCCCTTCACTAAACTTCATAAACCACTGACTGTGTGTTAGGACTCAAACCACTGGAATCACTGGCTTTCAATACATTCATAAATATATATTTTCAATACTCTCTCTCTCTCACACACACTCACTCACAATCCCATCAAATTGTAAGGCAACAAAAACATAAATTGATTGTATGTATATATATATATTATCAATAAATATGCAATAATGGCATAATAGCTATTTATATAATATAATCTATTGTTAACATTAACCACATAAGTATATAATCTACATACAGTATACATAACCATAATATTTATTGAAGTTTCCTCGTTGTAAAACCTATATATTGCACGCAATATATAAACAATTTTTGTGAAAAAGAGAGTGATTTTATAGTTTGAAAGTACAGTACTTTTGAACAAAATTCTCTAAAAATACAATACTTTTTACATTTTGTTTGTAGTTTTTAGTGTATATATTCCACCCAATTGTCGCTACAATTACAACATAAATCACAGTTTTATTGTCACTATATGTTAATGCATGGGCTGGTTATGCCCACCGTATAGTAAAGTGGGCATAAAGTCTCTCTCTCTCTCTCTCTCTCATAGCAATTGTAAAGCAAAAGACAGTGAGAGTGATAAACAAGCTTTTAGTCGGTGTTGTTGTACATCAATGTATTGTATGCATTGTATAAACTAATAGACTATTAAATTTTAAGTTAAATAAAGAAAGAAAAAGTGGACGAAAAGTGCTTAACTCTCGCTTTTTATCAAATGTTTATTTTCACATACATATAGTTTTAAATAAATTACAGATATAAATGGTGATAATCAAATACAATTTTTTTAATTTTAAATTATTTAATAAAAATTTAGTATTAAAAACATATTAAATAATGAAACAACTAATATAACTTAAAATTAATATTGGAAATATGTTTTGATATAAACAATCTGAGTCTATGGCAATGATAATCATAAATGCATTTAATAACAATATAAATACTTAACACGTTGGCAATAATCTGCTTCTAATATAAAGTGGTCCATAATTATTATGGGCTCAGGGAGTTGGATATGAGACCATCATTTCAAGTGATAAGAACAACCATAAAGTTATTGAATACTAGAGTTTATTGACATTTATCTCAAACATTACAGTAATCTGCGATCAAAGCCCTACTTATTTGTCACAGCAAAGGGTAGTCCAAACATGGATTTTAGCCTAACATTTATATGATATAAATTATATCCTTTATATCCCCCATCCCTTAACCCTTTCAATACTAATAAAAGTTTTTATTAACACAAACAGTAAACTATAGTCTATAGATTTCTCCATTAATTTATATTTGTTATGCTCTTAACAATAGAGTTTCATTAAACGTTCAGCAAATTTATTAAATAAAATATAAATTCTATCAATACATTAAAATTCTAATAAACATATAATTGAATAAAATTATTTTTATAATTATTAAACTATTTATCAAATTTATCATATTACAATAAAGTAAAATTATTTTTAAATATTAATCTTTATTTAAAAATTAATATATAATATATATTATATATTAATACTTATAAAAATCTGTAACAAAATACTGTTTCTGTTTTTTACAATAACTTTAGATAATAAAAATAAAACAGTATTATTTTTTAATATTAGTTTTATTGAACAGATAATATAAAAAAGTTTCTCATCTATATATTATGGCTCAGGGATGCATATCTGAAAAAAACTATAAGATATATTCCAATTTAGTAAAAACCAAATTATATAACATTAGTAATTGTTTAATAGTTTATTTATACTTTTAATTAAGATATAACCATACTTTTTCTGATTTTGAGTTTAGATTCTTATAAAATATTAATGAATAAATACAAATAAAAAGCACTGAATAGTTTGACTGTGAATATGTGAGTTTAATTTAATTAAGAGTTAATTTATACATTTGGTCCGTAGATAATGAATTACAGTATATGTAAAATACAAAAATTTAGAAAAAAGTCTGACTATACTAATAAAAACAGTGATATAAACTTTTTATCAATAATTATAATTAGTTAACAAAACAAAATGTAAAAACATGTAATTTACACATTTGTTTAAATTAGTAATAAAATAAAGGCATCATTAAAACAATTCGCAGAATTTAAATAATAGTTAATTTGTTAATGAAATGAAGCAAAACTTTAAGACAACAAATTCATTGTTTATATATACATATATACAGTATATATGAATCTCTTGTTTCAAAAGAGTGGCACAACTTTTACCACTAAATTCCCTGAATTTCTTAAAGTTTATCGAACTCTTCGTTTTTCTAATGAATATTTGTCACCAAAAGTCACTTCAATACAGTTCTGTTGAATATTCATATGAATTGTTCAATAATTTAGAGCACACTATACATGAATGTATATATATATATATATATATATATATGTATACCGGTATATATATGTGTGTGTATGTGTATGTATGTATGTRTGTGTGTGTATGTATGTGTGTGTATGTATGTGTGTGTATGTATGTGTGTGTATGTATGTGTGTGTGTATGTATGTGTGTGTGTGTATGTGTGTGTATGTGTATGTATGTGTGTGTATGTATGTGTGTGTGTATGTATGTGTGTGTGTGTGTATGTGTGTGTATGTATGTGTGTGTGTATGTATGTGTGTGTGTATGTATGTGTGTGTGTATGTATGTGTGTGTGTATGTATGTGTGTGTACAATTTATAATTAGCAAAATATGTTAATATAAATAGAAAATAAATGGGAAAACTGAAAGAAGAGAGAGAGAGAGAGAGAGAGAGAGAGAGAGAGAGAGAGAGAGAGAGAGAGAGAGAGAGAGAGCATTAATAAAGATATTAGTCTTTTGTATGTCAATTGAAAGATAGTGAAGAATTGTCTTACAATTATAAGGAAAGGGAGTATAAGGTACAGACTGTAGAGTACTATACTGTAAGCTAAACAGCACTAATAATCATACAATACTTTGACTCTGTAATGACCCGTTTTTGCAGTTATATTGTGTGATAAATTTATTAATATTATTGTAGATATAAAAAGCAAACACAACTGCCTAACAATTTGAATAAAAATATTGTACATAACTTTAACTTTATTTTTATTATCAAACAAATGTGTTTGTGATATGTATTTCCAATAATTTATGTAAATAGCAATATATGTGACAAATAATTACACTATTATTCCAATAAAATATTATGTCCTTAACCTTGAATTATAGTCCAAATCAACAAATCTTACCAAATATTTACGAGATTTTTGTTTATGACTTTAAAGATATACTTTGTATTGAATATTGTATATAATGTAAAATCCATTTAAAGTTATTTTTAAACTCTTTTATCTTTAAGAAATGGTAGGCAATGACTATACGAGAAAGTTGTCGCCAACTGTTGGCATTTCAATTGTTTTTAACATTCAAACATTTACAGTACATAATATGTACTAAATTTATTAAATACATATACATACAGATAATAACATACAATATATGAATATTTTAAATAAAATAGTTTAAAATTTTTTATATTACCAAAATATATAAATAATTAATAATTCGTCAATATTTTTAAATTATTCTATGATATCTATCAAATTCATAATTATTTATCTGATTTTTTACAATATAATAACAAATTTGTATTATCTATTAGTAATAGACTATTACAATCATATTTTATAATTTGTAAATAGCTATATAAATTGATTAAATAAAATTAAGATATATACTGTATATACTATACAATATAAACTCTAAATATTACTGTATATACGAGTCGTATATGTATAATACGACAAAATTAAAACTAATATAAATTATTGATAACTCTTTAATATTGGGTTTGTTTTCAGATAGTTTTCTAACTAATCTTCAAATACTAAGAATTTTATAACAAATAAACTTAAAAATATGTCAATAATTAATATATATATTTATTTATCATATTAAGATAAGTTATCTTTTTATTATTTATTATAATATAAACATTTTAAAAGTGTTGATCAACTGTTGATATTGTTTACAATATTTTACAGAATTGAAAGGATTATTTGGTTCTAAGAACCCAATGGTAAGAAAACTCTTATTAACGAAGAGAACGAAAGAGAGAGAGAGAGGATTGAGATCTAATCAGTTTATTTGCTTAAGTTATACTAACAAATATAAAACATTGTTATTAATATATAATTTTTATATATTTAAACAATTTTTTTAAAAAGAAATACATTTAAATCTAAATAATTTCCTATAAAACTATCCTATAAATTATATACGACATACCGTATGACATAATAGATTATAAAATAAATACTTTACGAAATACATGTTTTTTACACAAACTTAAATGTTTTGCAGTAAAGTTATACTATTATACAGTACTACTGTTGAATATAGTGTAAATTTTATAGTATATTTATCACCAAAATTATTGTATTTATTAAAAACATTTTTGCTTTATAAATATTATGAATTATATTAAATAGTTTATATATTTATTAACAAATATAACAGAAAATTATGTCATTTTTTTTAATTTTATTGTTTTACTGTAACAGACAATTATTCAATAAACAGTAGAGTAAACAATAAGCATACTTACATTTTACAACATTATTGTTTCCAAAATGGTAAAAATAAATTCACATTTTTATAATAGTAAAAGAAATCGGTATATATCGGGATATATACAATATATATTCACTTAATGTATATATATATATATGTAGTTCAGAGGTTTTGTGTATTTTTTTGATAACCTTTTTGTAATATTAGCCTAACATTTGTTTGAATTCTCAGCACTCATGCGTTTTGTTAAACATATAAAAAATTATTAGCCATTGAAGTATTAGATATTTTAAATTAATCAATCCTATAATTTTTACGCTCACCGTACGTTTTTTACACAATATATATAACAACTCAAAATATTATATAACATAAAAAATTATTTATTTTGACAATATTTTGATTCAATTTTTCAGTGATAATAATTTATATTATATAAAAAAATAAAAAATTAATACTTAATAAATTTAACTTCATTCTCAATTCTATTTAATTTTATAGAAACGTTATTACCGGTAATGTTACATATAATAAAAATATCAAACAAAATAGTAAAATTTACTGTATTATTGAATTATTGTAAATTATGTTTTAGAAAAATATTATTATTATTAATTAAAAATTCATTGTTCGGGTGGATATAACTTAATAATTTGATCAGCGGTTGATGGATAACCAGTGACCGGACATTGGCTAGTAATCCGCAAATGATTTACAATACATGAGTAACAAAATACAAACCTATTTTTTAAAATATAATTAATTAATTATAATTAATGTTAAATTTTAAAATATATATTTACCCTGATGTCATAAGTGCCGTATCATTTTGTCGCATATTTAAACAAATGGGACATTTTTCAATGGGCACATTAATCTCCATCTGTTTAAATGATATTTAACTAAATTGTAATTAAATGTATACTTTTAAAAAACCTAAATAAAAAATACTTTTTGTGGTGCGGGTGGTATAGATAACGGTGCAAAACTATGGTTAAACATATCAGTATTGTACCAATACTCGAGAAATTGTATGAAAAAAGCGCTGACAGATAAAAACCCTCCGAAACCTTTTGACAAACATTTGGTACTATTCAGTGATAGCCTCGATAAATATGATAACCAATTGTCATTGTTGTCAATGGTATTCAAATTGTCATTAATTTGATTTAAGTCTTCTTCTCCTAAATTAATTAGTTTTACATTTGATAGTCTTAAAAGTGGTGAGTGATAACCATTTTGACCGACAGTATAACTAATTTCATAATATAAAGTAAATAATTGGCCGAATATACGAACCATTGGATATGTCTTTAGAAAAAATTCTTTTAATTCTTGTCGTGAATTATCAACGGATTGTGACTCTAATTGTCTTAACTTAAGGTTTTCGTATAAAGACTCAAATTTAGTCTTTAAATATGGAAATAATGTCAAAACAATTAATGAACTATAAAAGTGTTTGTTTTTTAAGACACTATTAATGCCATCGTTTGAAATCCGTTTAAGACTATAAAAATGTTCGGCAAAAGAGGCGTTGAATGCTTTCAAATGAGACCATTGGACACAAACACTAAACAAGAAGTAAAGTTCATCGAAGTTCTTGTAAAGAAACCAAAACTTTTGGTTATTATTTGAATACAAAATCTGCGAAAAACAACAAATTATTAACAATTGATTACTGATTGCATACTATAGTAAAGTATCGTATCGTCAAAGACTTACATTAATCAGATAATTAGCGGCTCTCCTGAGTCCAGTGTCCAAACTCTGTTGGGCTAACACTTCAAATATTGATGGACTCGTGTCCGATGTGACCACCGATTGAGCATTAATTTTGTTGGCCGCCGACGACTCACTCATTGTCGACAATTGTCTTATTTGTTATATATTAGTATCAAACAGTTGACTACCAAAAGCCGATTTGTCCGCAAAGTGTAATCAAATGTTAAGTTTTGTTGCAATCAATTCATAGCAAACATACGGCCTTTCGTGACATTAATGTGTTTACAATGACTGCACTGAACTCTAGCGTCGATCACAACAATTGTAATCACATGTATAGTCAATACAAACATTGATTTAGTTTTTTAAATTACCCGTAAATTGCAATCAATTTTTGATATATTTATTTGTAATCATTTTTTAAGTTTACATATAAATATGTTTTCATCGGTGGTATCGTATCTATGGAGAGGACAGCATATGATTGGCAATCCTTTGAAGACATTAAGTCAAATAACTAATAGTAAGTCTAAATTAATATGATATATGATATGATATTTCTTTGCAATTTAATTCACTTACCATTGTTTTGATGATATTTCAGAGCTATTGATAACAGATTTTACGAGAAGATTATCTGTAAATGCATCCAATTATCAGCTGTCAAGAGATGAATCAAAAACATTTAGATCAACAGATACCGACAAATGGTGGATATCACCGGTGCGTCCGTTAGCCACTGACCAACAATGGTTTGAACAAAGACTATTGAATTTATGGCACTTAAAGAAACCAAAGTTTAGGACGAGACCAAAGCATCCGCTCGACAGTAAACCACAAATGAAAGGCGTTGTATTGAAGACATTGATTAAAAAGCCGAAGAAACCGAATTCAGCGAACAGGAAGTGTGTTCTCGTGAGACTCACGAATGGCAAAGAAAAGGTAGCATTTGTTCCGGGAGAGGGACATAACCTACAGGAACACAGTGTAGTACTCGTTCAGAAAAGACGGGTTCGCGACGTTCCCGGACTTAAGTTACGGGTTATTCGGGGCACTCGTGATTGCGCTCATGTCATCAAAAAAACACAATAACTTTATTGTATTATTTGATTTATTGTATAATATGTTAACTGTATTTAATATATATATATATATATATATATATATATATATATATATATATATATATATAATCAATTACAAAATACATGTTTTTAGAAAAAATGCAATTGAATCGTCAAAATATTTTATTTGCAATTATAGATTTATTAAACTATACATTAATTTAATAACTTTGAATATATATTATATATATACAGACTATAAATACAATATAAAAGAGAGAATATAATAAAGTTGTGAATAGTATTCAAACTTTGCTAATAAATGATTTGTATTTTGCTGTACATTAAGGTATAATTTAATGTTATTATCCGATCATTTGATTAGATGCACACAATTTGTTGTAAACAGTTCTCAAGACATCAATGATAACATAAATGATAGACAACATTACTGGCAATGAAATGGTAATTATCAACACTATTGTCACCCATGAGAACCAGTCGTTGGCTGTCAAACGTTTAAAGTAATTTATAAAAAATTTGTAATTAAATTAAATATGCAATATATCTTACAATCAAATAAATTATTAGCTGCAAATACTAAAGGCAACAAAAATAGGATCAATTGAATAATTTTCAAAACCATTATATTTGTAATTACAGATTTCAATTCATAGAAAACAATTAAAAATATTTAAATTTAACGTGAAGTTTACCCTATGTATAGTATTTAGTATACAATTATTGTCTATATTTTTTGTAATAAATAGATTTAATTTTAAATTAAATTTTATATATTGTTTAACGGTTAGTATATTCCTGGTGTTAAACATGACTAAAGGTGATAAAACTGATGAGGAATGGTGTTGGACACGAATCGGGACGACTATACGTCTCAACCGAAATAACAAATACCGGATGATAAGTGGTGTGACTCAGATTCTGTTCAATAGCTGTAAGTTTTAATATAAAATCTAATCTAACATCAAATATTAACATTATATCTTAAATTTAAAGTATTTTAATAACTATTTATAAGTTTAAATTATAATTGTAAATCTTATAAATAGTTTAGCCATAAAATACATTTAATCCCTAATTAATATTTAATTTAGGTCTTCTCGTTATAATCTTTATGCTCTTTAATTTGGTTGGAATCGCCTGTATTATCATTGGTTTGATTTTGTAAATTAAAAAAATATTTGACTAAAATGTTTAATTTATTGTCATTCACCGCCAAATAGCTAGCATTTATTTACACGACTGTCCCATCCAATCGRCAATTCCGATAACTTTGTTAGCTTTTGGCATCGGTTTAGTGATTCAATCAGTAATTTCATTAATAGTAAGCACTAATTGTGTTGATGTAAACAATTCAACGAATCAATTGGGAAATCTACTAAAAATAGTTTATTCAATCACTTCACTCATTGTTTTTGTGTCTTTTATATGGGGTTTGTCTTTAATTTTAAATAAATATTTATAATAAAATTTGATTTCAAAATTGATAGCCTGTATAGCAATCTATTCGGTGTCATCAACAGTGGATACCAATGAAGCCAATATGCAATCCGATAATTATTGCAATCATTTTTTCTATTGGTTCTCATTTGTCTTAGTGACCATCTATTTGGTGATATTTTTCTTGTTGTTGGCATTAATTTGTTGTTCATTTTGTTGTTTTCTATGTTGTTTACCATTTATTTTTGTGGTTAAAGAAACCAACGGTTCAATTCAAGTATAAAATTTAAAGCGATATTTTCAATATATAGCAAATATATTTACTTTTTAAATATAAGATACTTACTATAATTAAAAATTAAAATTGTAATTTTTATTTATATATAAATAAATGTTTTGTTTAGATATATAGTTTATTTAATAGATTTTGAATCACATCTAACATTATTATTAAATATTTTTAAAGACAATTTGTTTGACAAACTGCATGAAACACATTACCTGTTTGTTTGTATATTACCACTTATATTAACGAACATAATTAAAATTATAGTTAACATTTAACAAGAAAATGATTAATTAATTAATTGTGATTATTAATAAATACATGCAAAATATGACACGTGATTAAATTTTTCATTTCATAAAATATATAGCAAACATTCAATAACTTCTACAGTAGTTAAAAGTTGATTATTATAAAAATACCATTATTTAGTATCATCTAAAATAAGATAAGACATTCACAAACAATAACATAAAATAAGACTAAAATGATTTTTTAATTTTCAATTTCATTATTGTTTCCGTCGATATTTTCATCAACAATGTCTTCAACTGACTCTAAATTTTCTGTAATTCTTGTAATTTCTTCTTCAAGTATTTGTGATTCAGAGTCGACATCACTGTCTTCGGACATCTGTGCCGGACATTCAAAGTGCACGCAATGAAACACTTCATTAGCGCTATTATAGACACCGACGATGCGAATGAAGACAACGGGTCTTCGAGTAAATTTTAACAATTGCCACGAACGACAAAACTCTTTTCGCTTATCGGCCACAATATGCCAGTTCTGTTGGTCCACCGATATCTCAACATAATAGCTATACGAGCGCTTATCTGTATCCCATAAAAGTAATCGCATCGAGTCTATCATATATGGCTGAGCCAATTGAACGACTATAGCTCCGCTTCCCAATTGATGACATGTATAACCGGTATCCCAATCATAATTTTTCCAATCACCTGTTAATTCATATTTAGTAAATAATTAATTAATAAAAATCAAATTTATTGATTAAAAATTAAACCAACCGTTAATCAATGCATTACGAGTTCTGCTCACACCTTCTATAACATGAGCGCTATTATGAATGGTAGCCACGTTATAGCTGGGAACTACATATATCATCAAATCAATTATTACCGGTAATTCAATAATCAAAGGTTATCAAATCAATTACAAGTTTGTCAAGAGTAGCAAAACAATAAATATTAATTTAATAAAAAAAGTATATAAGTTTTAAATAGTAAAAATATTTCTTAACTTATAAACCAAAAATTACTTTATAAATTTTCTATTAAAATGAAATTACAAATCAATGGATAATAATTTGATAAAAAATAAGTTATCCACTATTAGAGTTTGGCTACTTTAGACCAACCTTTAAAATAATTAATTAATCAAATACCTAGTAATCCCCTATCGATTTCAAATTGTTTCTCAATAAACATACACTCAAAGGCTACGACATGAAACACACGATTTATGGTATTATGTGTACCAAATATTCGTACATATTTGGCAACTCTGGATGGGAAGTATAGGTATTGCCACGAACGGCACAGGTATRGCGTGTGATCAATAACACGAACCCAATCATTCAGATCCATCGAGATTTCGATATAATAAGAGTAGGCTCTCATGTCTTTATCCCATAAAAGCATTCGGATGTGATTTAATATGCATTGCATTCCCAATTGAATAACAATTCCCTGTCCAGTGCTCTCATCGATGTGATGTCGTGTAAATCCCTTTTCCATATCATAGTTATTGGAGTCTCCATCTAAAAGAGCTCTGGGATTCTCACCATAGATAACCTTTGCATTGAATCTACTACAGGCAACGTTTGTATCAGGCAATAGACAGCCCCGATAGTTGAGCTCCGAATCTCGTGATATTTGTTTCACTTGTATGGCGTCCAGTATGTCGTTTGGGTCGACTAATGATGAGTTGCGGACAGTTGTTAACAAATCTTTTACTGATATCAACGGTAATCTAATGCAAGCAATTATATCACGCAAAACATCGGGATTATCCGTCACTTGATTACGTTGTGTCCATTCATACACTGCTTGGTATATATCAATCTCTTGAGCACAAAACGAGTCGCGACTTATCATTTCTTTTAAAGAAATGGCCGATAAATTATAAAAGGCTTCGTTTCGCATCACATCCAATGCCTGCTTATCGATGAATGTCTGACAAACATCCGAAAGAGACTTCAATTGAAAAAGATTTGCCGTATCGTAGATAAGACACACGTTTCGGATGGAAAGCGTGTCCTTCAGGTAATCACAAATGGCTTTCTCGAGATCTTCAAAGCCGTATTCGTGACTCAAACCAAAGATCTCTAAAATGGTTTCTTCTTTAAAACTTTTAAGTTGAATGTGTCCGCAATATATGTATTTAAGTAGATATTTGAAGGCATGAACTGACGTCACTTTCAAATGGATCTCATTTTCCTGTGATTCCTTCATTCCTCCGTAAAGAAGTGCCCGAAAGTAATTACTTCTGGCGGCCAAAAGTACGCGATGTGCAGGAAATCGTTGGCCATCAACAACCAGAGTTATGTCACTCATATTATCACTCAAATACAGACCATTTAAATGGTCCGACAGTTTCGAGATGTGATTCACTTCGCCGACGGCCGGATCTACCACTGATGAGCCAGAGGTCGACGACTTCGGGTGACAGTCACTCATGGCATCAACCGAATTGCATGTCAACCAATAATTACCACTTTATGACCCGAAATAACCGATAAATACAATGTATGTCTGCAATGATTATCAATTGTGTCATCAAATTGACAGCAAATACACTGTTATTGACAATCAATTCAATGATTGTTTTGATTTATTGCTTAAACACTACTTTAAATGTCACAATTGACTGCATTATTCATCACTAATAACGTACACTATTTTATGATTATAACGAATACRAAACTGTAATACAAATATATTATATAATAATAAATGGGGTATTGATTGAAATCAATGCATGTTATGTGTGAATAGTCTACAAAAATGTGTCATTTATTTACAAATAGTGAGTCACTGTTTGTTTGATTACTTCCACGTTATTATTGATTACTATTTTGATGTTATTATTGGTTATTATAATCACTATATCGACACTCAATTGAGTTGTCATTTAATTAATTGATTTTTTATTTTATTGTTTTCTTAAATCAAATTAAATTAAATCCAAACAATCTGTGAATATATTAGCAAAATGTCGACAAACTTTACGGTACGGGAGAGACAAAAAAGTAAGTATCAAATACCGACATATTTGGCCACTTTTTTTGTACCAATCGATGGTTATTAACAATTATTATTATGTCTTTGAGATGCCATGAGATCCATATTGAGTCTCAACTCAATGGTAACAAAGCAGACGTCAACGGAACCGGTTTGGAAGGTCTTTATATACGACCGGTGCGGACAAGACATCGTTTCGCCGCTATTTTCTGTAAAAGAGTTACGCGAATCGGGAATTACACTTCACATGTATTGTTGTTTATATCTATTTATTTAAATATTAAAAATTTGTTTTTAATGTATTGTTTTACTGTTCAAAAGGCAACTGCATAGCGATCGCGACCCGATTCCCGATGTTCCGGCCGTTTATTTTTTGTTACCGACTGATGAAAATATAATGAGAATATGTCAAGACTTTCGGAACCATTTGTATGATCACTATTACCTTAACTTCATTAGTCCCATATCTCGACAAAAATTAGAAGAATTAGCCTCAGCTGCACTTCAGGCCAATTGTGCTAATTGTGTGACAAAAGTTTACGACCAATACTTGAATTTTATTTCTCTTGAAGAAGACATGTTTGTATTGAAACAACAGGACAAAGATCTTGTCTCTTATTATGCAATTAATAGAAGTGATGTAAAAGATACTGATATGGAGTTTGTTATCGACAATATAGTGGACAGTCTGTTTTCTGTATTTGTAACTATTGGTGTCGTTCCCATTATACGATCACCAAAGGGAAATGCAGCTGAAATGGTGGCCGAAAAGTTGGACCGAAAGATTAGAGAAAATTTAAGAGATTCACGAAATAATTTATTTACCGGAGGAGATCTGTTTGGCACTAATGTTGCCCTCACTTTTCAAAGACCACTACTTGTTATTCTTGACAGAAATATGGATATGACTACCCCTTTACATCACACGTGGACCTACCAGGCTCTGGCACACGATGTTTTAGACTTGAAGTTAAATCAGGTTCGGATTGACGAGTCGGCCGATCCCAATGCTAAACAACGCAAATCTACAGTTAAAACATATGACCTCAACCCTAATGATAAATTTTGGGAAACAAATAAAGGAAATCCATTCCCACACGTGGCTGAAGCAGTTCAGGAAGAACTCGAAGCATATCGTTCTTCTGAAGAAGAAGTTAAACGATTAAAATCAGAGATGGGTTTGGATGGAAATATAGCCGATGAAGCCATTTCATTATTATCAGACAATACCGCTAAATTGACATCAGCTGTCAGTTCATTGCCTGAACTCTTAGAAAAGAAACGATTAATTGATTTACATACAACTATTGCGACCGCCATATTGGATCACATTAAAAGTCGAAAACTTGATATTTATTTTGAAATTGAAGAGAAAATTATGTCAAAAGCAGTATTGGATAAATCGCCGCTTGAATTGATTATTGATCCAAATGCTGGACACAGATCTGACAAAATGAGATTATTTCTTATTCAATATCTGTGTGGTTTGGGTGCTGTCAGTGAATCGGAGATTAACCAGATTTTAAGTGAACTATCAGTGATAGGMTGTGATCTTAATCCATATCATTATATTAAACGATGGAAAAAGTTTAGTAAACTTGCCTTATCTGACAGTCAGTATGTGTTTCATACGGGCGGCGGTACCAAAACAGTCAGTATGTTCTCAAAACTCATGAGTCAGGGCTCACAGTTTGTAATGGAAGGCGTAAAGAATTTGGTGGTTAAAAAGCATACCCTACCCATTACCAGAATAGTAGACGCATTGATGGAAATGAAATCAGTTCCAGAAGCCGATGATTACCGATATTTTGATCCTAAAATGTTGAAAACCGTCGACAATAATAACTCTCGAAATAAGACACCTTTTCATGACGTGAGTTCTCATTTTATCCTATCTTTTGATTTACAATTTTTAATAATAATTTTTATAATTACTGTAGTATTGAATTTTGATTTTTTAGTTTTATTATATACTATAAGTTGTTTTATTAGCTACAGTATTTTGAATGATTTTATATGCAATATTCATTAATAAATGTCATTAAATTTGAAAATTAAATTGACTTAAAAAATAATTTGAATATGTTATTAAAAATCTTTATTTTGCAAAAATAATTAATATTCAGAAATTTATTTTTGAAGCCATTATATTTGTTGACGTGTTTCATAAGGTTATGTTTACTCAACTAAACCTCACAAATAGAGAGTTAGCTTTGAATTATAATTTACTACATAATCAATGATTGTTTACATTATATGAAAACTATTTGCTAAAGATATGTAAAAAATAATTAATGAGTTTAAGTCTAACTACTTATATATAGGTATATACTGTATAATATGATGATTGAAATCCAATACCCGTTTTCTCCTTGAATTTAAGTAGTTTTCAACTAAAGATTATTTAAAATGCTTTCAATTTATTATTATTATTACTTAAATTATTATAAATGAAATATTATATGTATTTCTAAGTAAATTATATTTTTTAAACTTTTCCTTATATTTATATATATTTTGATTACTAATTTTTCTCTTATTTATCTAAATGCTTAAATTTCACTCTAATTTTATGTTTTTATTATATATGTAATTCAATTCAATAGGCGATTGTATTTATGGTCGGCGGAGGAAATTATATTGAATACCAAAATCTCGTCGACTATTGTAAAGTAAGTTATCTCTTATATAGACTTAAAGTAGACATAACTGTAGTTTAGATTAGGCTATAAATTGTGATTTTCATAAATATTTATTTTACCAAAAATTATTAATTTCCATTAAATACATCAAAACTTATTGAATTTGTTTATAATAATTGTCTAAATTTAGAATAAATCTAAATCAGCGCCAAAACGTATAATCTATGGGACGACTGATCTAATGAATGCCAACCAATTTCTGAGCCAACTGTCCAAATTAGGCCAAGAAATTAATAATTAGACTTAAAATTTAAATTACATTATTGTTATTTTTACTATATATTGTCTATTTATAATTTTGGTCCATAAACTGAGTTTATACTATAGTAATTAAAACAAAGTCAATGTTTACATTTGGTAATAATATATAATTGCATTTTATTTTGTCGTTTTTTTAAAATGTAAATAAAAATATTTATAAAAAATTTATTATAATAAAATTATTAAATTAGTTATAAGTGAATAATGTTGAATATATTAATAATTATTGCGATATTTATGGTATAATATTTAACAATTTTCAAAATTAAATGTATAATTTGATTTCATTTGGTTGAATATAATTAAACTCATTTTATTTTTTGTTACAATAATTATAATATTAATAATAATAATAAAATACATAATTTATTTATTTATTTATTCACATATGATTTAATATATTTATATTTAAATATTTATAATCATTATATAAATAATAAGTAATAATAATATTTTTATAATATAATACATAACATGAAAACAAACAAAAACTTGAATCTCAAACTCTGAGATATTGATAGCATAGTGTCTCTCATTATCTCTCACTCTCTTTCAGTGGTATTGTATTGTAAATGAGTCTGAGTTTTGGGAATTCATTGAAACACTTTATAAAAACAAGTTTTTCTCCGGCGATGAGATTCTTGTGTTTAGAGACCAAAAAAGAGAAAGAAATTCCTCTAATACTCAATACATAAGACATTGGTATTGAGTACACGATATTATGTGAGGCCGGGAGTGGTTTGAAGCCAAACAGTCTATAGGGTCAACCAGTCTATAGACTCTATAGACTGCTTGGCTTCAAAAGTACTTCAATTTCTCGCCCTCTTCTCATGTATGCAGTTGTGTGGATATTATGCCTTACCTGTAAAAATGTACCAAAACTTTAATATCACTTCTCTCTCACAAATGCGTTGACTGATTGTGTTTAACGATTTACTAATATTTGAAATAAAATTCACTGTTAAATATAGATAACATCTCTTTATCGGGAATTAGAGGCTCAGGAATGAGAAAAATGAAAAAACGCCAGTTTTGGACATAAAATCCATTTTATAAATACCTATCTTTCTCTCTGTCAGCAAAAATACAGTATACTGTCTATTGTGTTGTCAAATACTTCAACAAATGGGTGGCGAAAGTAGTTTTTGATTTCGTAAACTCTCTCTCTCTCTCTCTCTCTCTCTCTCTGATGTTAATCAGTTTTAACCTAAAACTCTTAATATACAAAATAGTATGAAATGTAAAATCAATGGACATATCTCTAGTCTCTCGAAACACCACTTAAAATGTTTTAAATTCTTAGTCAATATATAAAAATTATTATTTAGTTTTGTATTTATTTTTCTTTAGTCATGAATAATAATATACCTGTAAAATGTATTATTTGTTATTCAAATTGCTGTGTATGTGTGTCTATGTGTGTGTATTTTAAATTATTTTACAACTTTCTCTGCTATGATAATAATACTGTATTGATCACAAACATATAATACTATAATTTTCATACCAAAAGACTAGTTTATTATTATTATTTACAATTTATTTCTTATTTTTATATCAGTTATGAATACAATAGATTTTTAAAACTAATAATATATAATAACTGAGTTATTTGTAAAATATAATTTAAATTCTCTACATTCCATATACTGATTATTATTATTGTTATATTATTATTATTATTATACAATTTTATATAATATTTTCATCATTACCTTTGGTTGTCAAAAGGTTTTCAAGTATTTTATTAATACTTCAAATAAAATATAAATAACTTTAATATAATTCATTTTTTATGTTTTTACTGCCAAATAGTATATGACTTGAATGTGAAATTATGATATTTTTGAATGATATGTAATATTAGAGGAATTATGATATATTTTTGAGTAAAAACATTATTAAATCAATTTTAGTGTCTATATCTCAATGTCTACCTGTGCTCATCATAAGAACCGCCTCATTGGGTAGTATAAAACATTTGCAACATTACTAAACATTATATATATATATACTGTGTTTGAGCGGCAAATGTGTACACATTTAGTGTTCATTTTTGTTGATAATAAAAATGTCTCTCAGGTTTGGCATTGAAAGGACCGAAAAGATATTGAAAACAGGCATTTAAAAGGAGAATATAAAATGGGACTTAAAAAGCATATATCGTTTTTACAGCTCTAGTATATTACTATTGTATTACATTTGGTGCTGTTTTATGTTTTATGTTTGAAATTATCAATTTTTCTCTGACTTCATGACTGGAGGGCACTCATTGGGTACGGACTGAGAAAAGCATAGTTTCCATTAGGGATCTTATGAAATATAATTTGCATTTACGTATTGACCTCTCCATATGTCCCTCTCGACGGGTGTATACCTCAACCAAAATAAATTGCCTCCTATTTTATGTCCAAATGATCATCTCTTCATCATCATATACATCATAATAGGCTATATACTATACTATATACATATACAGCATATAATGTATAAACATGTTGTGACCCTCGATAGTCAATTTCAAATTGAATGATCATTTTGTTATATACAGTATTATTATAATAATAGCTAACACTTGACGTAAACTTTTTTGTGGCATAAGTTTGTGGTGTCAATAGAATCGGTCAAAACATGTCATAATAAATAAATAAAAATAGCAGGGCTTCCACTCATCCATTCAATTGATGTATAATAACACTCAAAACTACATTAATAACTATCAATAAAGAAAATATTTTCAAACAACTCTCGAGAAAAACACATTTTTCTTGTGTAATGTTGAAAATGAGTGCAAACCTAACTAAATGGTCATATCTTTTGAAAAAAGTCTAAGTGTTATGCAAACAGTGAGGTTATGGTTACGTAAGTTATGGCATTTCATATGATATAACGCAGGTGTTTGAGTAGTGTTTTCATRGATTGATTAAGAGAGGGATAGTGAGAGAAAATTTCAAGTTTTCAATGCTTAGTAAAAATATGTTGAAAAATACTTTTATTAGTTGCATATAAACTATATATAAGTAATCAAAACTATCATACTTTTCTCTTTCACTTATTTTCATTAATTCATATAATAAATTATATTTGCGATCAAAATAATGATCAAAAGTCAAGGACTTGTATTATAGTATAAGAGAGAGAGAGAGAGAGAGAGAGAGAGAGAGAGAGAGAGAGAGAGAGAGATCTTTGCCAGAAATTTATGAAAAGCAAAAAATAAAAGTTTCTCTTAATTCTCTTTTTTTTTTGACTCGACTTTTATATACATTATAATAGTTATATACAGTATTTCTTATTCAAGTTTTGCTATATATTTATTTATAAATTTAGTGAAAGAGAGGTCTCTCTCTCACATATTTTAAAGTGACTTCTCAGGTGAGTTCACTATTCATGTATTATATAGTAGTGGCTATAGTTGTATAGTTAGTGTAATGTTATGTTCAGTAAAAATATATATAAATGTTTGCTTTTTTAGTGAATGGAATGCCTTAATAATAGAGGCTTTCAATAGAGTACTCATTTCTTTTTGCTTTTTCGTGAAAATGCTTTTTCAACTATTTTTTCTTTTCGGTTATTTTACCCGTAATTTAACTTACATTTGCTGAGAGAGAGAGAGAGAGAGAGAGAGAGAGAAAGCGGATGCCGAAAGCACTCATAAAACAAACATTCCTGAGTCGGCCACTAATTTCCCTTAACTATCAATTTTCTCATTTTCTGTGCACTCACACACACACACACACTCACTATAAGAGAGTCAGTCAGTCACTCACACACTCAGTCATATCTTTTCACTCACAGAGTCCGAGAGTTATAGTGGTTGTAGTGGTTATAGTGGCACTACTATTATAATAGGTATCAGTATATCAACCAAAATGCATATACTGTTTATAAGACACACACACACACAGAGAGAGAGAGAGAGAGAGAGAGAGGTAGTAATACATTAATGGAATAACTTGACAGTACGGTAGAGTTGAGTGTCGGTATTGAGAGGTAAAAGTTAGGATAGGGTAGAGTAGGGTATGATAGATAGCATTGTTCAGGACATTGATTAGTACTAACCTGTAGTGTTAACGACATCCACATCCCTCGACAACCATGTCCTGATAGTTTTTAAGTACAACTTTATCGTATTCATCCACATATAGCATAGATATGGGTGACAACTCTGTTGGTATGCAACACGCTTTAGGCACAGCCGATGGGTTGACTGAGTTGACCAATGTTTGGACAATAGCGTGATTGGTTGAGTTTAGATGATCTGATAGCGGGAACGGACACTCACCGCTGCAATAGTATGCCTGATAACCGGGAGGTGCGACGATCCAGTCATTCCAACCGACATCACTAAAGTCCACATACAAGGAATGTCGTCTACAGTTCTCTTTATGACCTTTGCCTCTGTGTCGACCCTTTCCACGTCGATGTGCACCGGTATGTGCCTGACGTTTGTGTCGCACATGAAATGCATTGTCACTACTTTGATTAGGTTTATCCCAATAAGTCACTAACAAGGGCTGGACGTGAGCCCAATAATCATCATTGAATTGTTTGATGACTTTATGTTTGCATTGGTCACCACTAACACCATCGTTGATATCTTTAGCTGCAGATGTGTCACACTTAGTGTCTGATACAACAACAGGTGATGATATTACAGGTGTTGCTAAAGACGATTGGGACTGGGATTTTGATGACAATGAATTTTGTTCAACATTTAGATTATTATTACCAGTTTGTATGTGTTGTAGAGGCACTGTTGGTTTTAAGCGCACGTGTTCTCTATGTGTGTCGGGTATAGAGTCGGATCCATTAAAATTAGTTATAGTCACATATAATCCATAGTTAGCATTAGGATTAGTGGTCCAACGTTGCACTGCTGGAAATATATCAAAACTGGTCCACTCTGTGTGCCTCACATCTACCACATGTGTGTCTATGGGCCTCACTAAGAGCTGATCCCTGTCCTTAGTCTTAGGAAGTTCCAGTATATCATATATAGTCACTCTAACCAGCATATGCTGCCAGTTATTGTCAGTTCGCTGCTCCCGGTGCTGCCCGGGGCTACTCTCTGACCTGTTTGATGACCTCTCTCGGCGCACTTTTTTATTTTTAGACAATTTAGAGGAACTTTCACTATTAGTTATAACATAATTATTATTATCATTATTAACATTAGTATTGATATCATATTTGACACGAGACTTGTGGGACATATTAAGTCTATTCAATATTGACTGTCTATACAAACGCAGTTCTGCGCCCTTTAGCTCTTCACCAGAAGATAACGATATATTAAATAATAATTTTACACTATTTGGTGTTTCCCATTCAACATCACCGGCATCTGATCCAATATACCATCAAATTATGTGTTTCAAACAYAAGAGTTTAAGATGTAAACAAAATCGAGAAAAATAGTAATCATTAGTTACATGTAATTCAAATCAATTTTTATGTGTAAACTAACAAATCATTAATCATTAGGTATATATATTTTTAAACTATAAGGTATATTAAAAAGTGATAAATATAAACATAATATTTTCAAGCAATCTATGAATAACTATTAATTTTGAAATATGCGCTGAATGTCTGTAAATATTAATTAATCGCTAAGTAAGAGATGTGTCAATACATTAGTGCGAAAATTTGTGTTCAACCCAAACATAACTCTTTTACTTAACAACTAATTTGCTATAAATCTATTTAAAGGTATATAGTTGTTAACATTGGGATTTGAACGTCAATCAAAACATAGAGACAAATATATATATATATATAAAAACAAGATATATATAAATATATTTATGAAAAGGAATTGAAGGATAAGGAGTTGCAATAGATTTGTGTTGAAATACAAGTGAGAGAGAGAGAGACGAGTGAGGAATTAATAACTAACACATTAAATATATACTCATATTATATGTACTAAACATTAATCTTATTAAATACATCTCTCAATTAATGTACTGTATTTTCATATATACTTGAATGTAATAGAGTTTATTAAAGCAAACATTAAATATATTCAAAGATTAAGGATCTGAAAAATGCTAATTTTTTCGTTAAAAATTTTACGGAAAATATATATAATTTTCTAGTTATAGTAAAAGAGGACAACTCTAATAAATATATATATCTCTAAACATATAAACTGTTTATAAATTTTGATGACGACCTCAAATAATTGATCACAAATTGCATTTTCCAGACTGACATTTAGTTATTGCTAACTATTATATTAATAAATAAAAAGCTTTACGCACTGTTAAGTTGCATTAACTACCAAATTGCCTATAAATCTATTAAATACACAAATAATATATTCATAATATTTTATAATGAAGACAATAATGATAAACAATTTTAAGTATTAAAAAACTACTAAAATACCTGATGTATAATTTGTTTTAAAAGTAATCTATGATAGCTATATATTATATGTTTTCTGGTAGATAGCAATAAAATGTTAGACAAACATCTTTAAAGTAAATATTTAGATAAAACACTTTAAATATTTTCTTATTTATGTCAAAAATAAGATTTTGATTTTTACGCTATATTTTGTTAATAAAGTATTGAAATGGTTGTTAATATAGAGGAATACAAAACAAATATAACAAATTAGGTATAAACCATGCTAATTTTACATATAACTATTAATAAATTATTGTTTATATGTTAATTAAATCTCAATTGACTAACAAATTGAGACAATGCATTCAAATATACTACAAATATATACAGTATATGACTTTATTGGCAAATATTTTTATACTGAAAGCCAGTAGTCATTTATTTTTAAGTATAATATTTGGTGGGTATTGTTTGGGTACTTATAGTTTAACATTTTACATATAGTTTGTTTTCAGGTGTATCTGTAAAATAGGCTGATAGGACAGGTAATGGTGGGGCACACATACACATATATATACCAAACATAGGCATACCTTCATAATGCTGTTTATGACTTATAATAGTATTTGCGTTTCCACTTAAACTAAATCTCTTGTAATGATGGCTTCGGTATCGCTGATGAGCTGTTTGGCCACCACTTGCACCGGTGTTCTGGTTATTATGTTTGGTTGAGTGTTGTCTATGATTAAAGTCATTATCAGCACTGGATTTGTCGGAGTATTCGACGGTATTGTCGTCGATATGATTGTCGTTGTCTTCATCGTCATGAGTGGTGAGCAACTGATTGTAATATTGTTGTTTGTGGTACAGATCCAGCATATAGTCAGGTATAAGATTGATGGTATTAGGTCTGGATTTRGGTCGTGAATTGAGTTGAAATAATTGTAAAAGTTTTGCTTCAAATGCTTTGACTATTGCTCTGTTATACTCTTTTGTTGGACCTCTTGTTTTGCCTTTTATTGCTTTTGGCAAACTATCGGTTACTACCACTTCTTTAACCACTTCACCAGCAATCTTTTGGTCCTCACCAGTCAATTGTTGTATTGTTGAAGCACTGGAAGCCAACACAGCAAAAGTTGAATGGTTGGCAGTACTTGTGATATACATGTTGAGGACCAGGAGGTTGAGTAATAAGACTCTGAACCACAAAGATCTGCCCTTTAAGAGCATATCGGCTATCATTTGATTAAATCAAACAATAGATTTGACACAAAGAAATTGATTAAAACAATACATCCAAAAGTGTTGAATCAAAACAAATATTTTCTTATAATTACCGGTTATTTATAAATAATGAAGAGATTGTGTGGGAGAGAGAGAGAGTGACGATAATCTCAATTAACAAAACATATATAAAAGTATAGATTGTGGTTCACTAATGCCAGACACACAAGAATTGAATATCACTACTGACACCACACACAAGGCACAGGTAGACCATAACATACCAGTGCTCTCATCAGTGAGAGAGACCACACGCAACTCGAAAGCTTTCGACTATAATATTGACGTTTTTGAAACACCGTTAGCGCAGAAATGGTTAGCTTATACTTGGATTCAAACAACAACACCACTGGAGGTGGTTTGGCCATAGATATGATGTATCAACTAATCATAACATCCATACCTCATATAATTTATTGCTAATCATATATAACACTGTAAGCACTTTTAACAAACTAACCGTACGCTTCACTTATAGCAACACTATATATATATAAATTGCCAAAACTTATTACACCAATACATACATTCATACGGTGTGCACAACTTATATATATATATATTTAGTTATCACGTGAATCAACTCTAAACCAGTAATACATGTGATAGATAGTGACGTTCAGGTATATACACCTACTTATTACATACAATATTATAGACTATACACACACATACACACCACACACATACACATACACATACACATACACATACACATACACATACACATACACATACACATACACATACACATACACATACACATACACATACACATACACATACACACCACACACATACACATACACATACACATACACATACACATACACATACACATACACATACACATACACATACACATACACATACACATACACATACATTATTATTATTTTTTATTTTAATCATCACTTTATTAACTAATTGTAATTTAGTAAAAAGTAAAGTTTAAAGCAATATTTATTTTTAGAAAAACAATTTGATTTGTCTGAATATACTCCTACTATGAAATAATAGCGGTATATTCAGTTTATAGTCATTACCGGTAATTATATATTCAAAAAGACCCACAACTAAAATATGATATAAATTCAATACTGTATTAGTATTTTATATATTAATAAGATGTTTTAATTATTATTAAATATACTATATTAGTATTTTTTATTTTGAAAAATGTTTGTTTTAAATGATTGATTAATTTAGCAAATAAAATGTTATGTGTATTGAAATAAACTATTGATAACATAGGTGTACTTCGGTGGTGGTCTATTGCCATATACTCTATGGTTAATGTTTTGTTAATTGTTTTTTTCAACTATCATTTCATAGGCCAATGTTTGCAATACTTTGTTAGTGTAAACACAAATATATTTTCACATATGAGTGAAGCAAATGTCAAACCACTGCTACTGAAACATAGCTCTCTATACTTTAAATTGAAATTATGAGATAAATTACTTTTCGTTTCAATATATTATATATCTTTCAATATCCGACAGTTTTGAAGGCATTTTTGTATATATTTATGAGAAACTTTGCTTATTTAGTGATGTTTAATATTGAAATTAGTAATAGAAATGTTTAAAAATACCTCCCTTTAAACATCAATTATCATAAAAATATTTACATTTATTAATGATTTAATAAAATAAATGAAATATATTTAACTTTAAAATAAGTAAAATACAAAATTAACAAAACATTCAAAAATTTTGTGGAAATATATGTAAAACATTAAGTCTAACAAACATTAAATACCATAAGTTTAAATAATTATTTTTAAATAGATATTTCATAGTTTAATAAATTATGATTTTAGATAAACAATTATGTTTTAAATATAATTAAATACATAAATAAAAGTATCACAAAACCACTTAAAATTAAAATTAATTTCATTTTACGCGCACTTCTCATACTTTTTTCAGCTTTACTTAAGGCRAGCACTCCGTCCTCAACCCTGTGCTGCACTGTTTCCACGTTATAGTCGATCCGATCCAACACTGATCCCTGTGTTATGACTAAAGTATTTATATCTTGAAATACTTGATTCAATTCACCGATCGATTTGACGATAGCGTTCATCTCTTGATCTCTGGCTATCAAATGCTCGGTGTCTACCAATACATCGGTCATCATCTGTTGCTGTTGTGGTCCTGTCGATGGTCTCAGATCTTCAAAGAATGACACTTCATCTCCATTAAGTTGAACACCAAATTGTGATTTATTAGCAGATTTGTCAGATATGGCATCAAATGTTATAACAAATTGTTCATCAATTTTATCACTTTCTGTACACTTAATTATATAATTGTTTTGACAAAATCGGTATTTGTGTGTCAATTCTTGTATTTCTTTGCATTGCCATTGAAAGACATTCTTTATAATACGTGAGTCAGACCTCATTTTGGCCAACCCTTGCATTTGATTCATCAAAGTATGCAAACGATTAAACAATTTGTTGATCTCTTGACACTTAAATTCAATCTCTATTTCATAGCTCTGATTGGCCGCCGATTCAGAGTCATCGCTGAATATAGACGTCGACTTACTCTTCAAGTGTTCCCTTTGTATCACATTTAGCTGATCCACTATATGGTCATAATTATTGAAACAATAATATAAAAGATTTAATTAATAAATACATTTAGTGTTGATTTTGATGACTTCGTATCGGAACTCATCGACATTGGAGACCCAATCGGGAATTGCCGTATCAGTCAAGTTGTCGCCATCAATGGTCAGCTCTATATCATTGGCATCATTCTTGCCGTTCACCAAATTAACTCTTTCGTCATCCGTTTCAAACTGTTGTCAAACACAAGATATGACACAAACTGTATGAATAAATCGATTGTTTTAATGGTTTACCTCTTTATAAAAGTATCTCTTTTTGGTCGCATTATTCCTCAACAGTATGAATGTCTCGGTATGGCTACGGTGTGTCATCTTTTGGTCAAATCAACCAACCGGTGGTCACACCGTCACAGCTGTGGCTAAATGTTTGCGTTTCTGTCAATCACTTGGTCTTCAGATAAACAATGAATGTAATCATCGAAATGATTGACTAATCGTGTGATAAACCAATTGATGTGACATTTCATATGTCTATCAATAATGAATTGATTATTGGATTTCAATCAATGTTTTAATTGTTAACAAATCACTGATTGTATTGAATTAATTGTAAACCAAAACATACAGTATTTTAATGTATGGGTTAACACATGATAAGCATTTAATGAACACAAATAACGCAATCATTATATTGTAGTTTAGTTTAGATTTAATTTAAAGTTTATAAACAAAAAATACAGAATTCTATAGAAAGATATTAATATACAGTATATTAATGTAAAGATAAAATTAATAAATTATATTAAAGTATATCAAACATTGTATTATAATATTATAATTAAATTAATTTGTATTTTATAATAATAGAGTGGTTTAATGCTGAAGGTATATAAAAATCATATAAATTTATAAATAGTTTTCGCTATAGTATATTGATATACAGTACAGTATAAATGTTTTTATACAGTATTATTCAATACTCAATAATGAAACCCCAGAACTTTAAATTGTAGCTTAAATTTTGCAATAAAAATATTATCGAAAAATAGGGGAATAGTATTTTGTAATAATATTATAACGTATAACATTTATATTGTATAACATTTATATTGTATAACATTTATATTGTATAACATTTATTTAAACATTGACGATTACAATATATAATATTGTTTTTATATCAATTAAATTTTTAAATATTTCTAATACAGTACTACT